AATCACTAGAGCTCTGTTTTTGCTTTCCAATGAGCCGTCAATCACTTCGTTCGCCTAAGAAACGAGTGAGCTGTAGGTGGAAACGTGAAAGACTATGCTCTAGGAATGAAGATTATGAGCTCTCTGGATTTTGTAGTCGAGTGTATCACATACAAAGTGATTCTCGATTTCAGTATGATGCATGCAATACAAAAGCAAACACATTTATATGAACTGCAAAACGTCGAATCGCAGATGTAACCTCGAACCGCGGTACACTCGAATGTTCGAGTAACATGGAAGGGGTGAAATTCGACTCTCGAAATTCACCGAACCGAATTCTCCCTGAGTCTCGATTCTTCTTGTGTTGCCATGTGGCACCGAAATGTCAGAATGTTATTGTTCTCTAGCCTGCAGTGGGGTACTCTATAGCGAGTACAACCCCTTAGGGTTTCCTATATGTATCCTGCTGCTTTCTAGTGAACTCACTCCTTTGTTCATTTCTCTCTTGCCTAGCTAGGGTTTTCCTAGCTATGGCTCCTAACTCTGCCTACTATTTTAACATGCTATCAGAGCGGTTACGCTCCTGGCCTGTGGGCCCACCTGCTTCCGCTGCTACTGTTCTGTTGGTCTCGCGCCCCGTGCGCGTGACACCTTTTTCATCCCGCCGCGCGCTCGTGGCGCACGGTGGTTTTCTACCTGCCGTGCGCCCCGAGGCGCGCGGCGGCTGTCTGCTCGTCGCGGCGCCCTGGGGGCCCGTGCGCCGGCCCCTCCCGTCGCCTCGTCGCGACGCCTTAGGGGCCCGCGCGCAGGCCCCTCCCGTCACCTCGTCGCGGCGCCTTGGGGGCCCGCGCGCAGGCCTCTCCCGTCGCCTTGTCGCGGCGCTTTGGGGGCCCGCGCGCCGGCTCCTCCCGTCGCCTCATCGCGGCGCCTTGGGGGCCCGCGTGCGGCCCCTTCTGTCGCCCGTTGAGCCGCCCTCGTGGGCCCGTGCGCGGCCCCACTCCCGTCACCCGCCGTGGCGCCCTCGGGAGGCCCGCGCCCTGCTTCTTCGTGGCGCCCTGGAGACCCCCCCGCCGCCTCCCTTTCCCTTCGTGACCCGCCCCTACTGCTTCCCGCGCTCCTACCCGTGTTAGGGTTTGGGGGTGGCGGGTGTGGGGGTGGCGGTTGTGAGTTCCTCCCCTTGCTCCTCCTCCTCCCTTGTCTCCCACTGCTGCAGCTGTCGCTGAGGGGGGTGGGTGTGTGGGAGCCTAGGGTTTAGGGTTTTAGGGGGGTGCCTTGGGAGTGGAGCTAGGGTATCAGCAGGGGGTGTGTGAGAGGGGCGTGCGGCAGCTAGGGGAGGTTGAGTGGGGGCAGCCGTCTTGTCGCCAGCAACACCAGCAGTCCGGAGGCTACAATCTCCGGTAGTCGCCAGTCGCCTGTGGGTCAGTTGCTCCGGTCTGGAGGCTACAATCTCCGCGGAGCCAGTTACTCCTGTAGTCCGGGCCTTTGCTTCGGTAGCCACTGAGCCAGCAGCTCCTGTGTGTCTGCAGCTTCAGCAGTCGCCTCCCATCTTCTCTCCCCCACAGTCTCTCCTCCTCCTCACTTGCTCTCTGTGATAGCCTCTAGCTTTACTTGTGCCTGTGAACCTGCTCTAGGACTACTTGCTCTGCTGATTATACCCCACTTTGACTATGGGGGTGTGTCAGAATGTTATTGTTCTCTAGCCTGCAGTGGGGTACTCTATAGCGAGTACAACCCCTTAGGGTTTCCTATATGTATCCTGCTGCTTTCTAGTGAACTCACTCCTTTGTTCATTTCTCTCTTGCCTAGCTAGGGTTTTCCTAGCTATGGCTCCTAACTCTGCCTACTATTTTAACACGAAATGCAAGTCTCTCGAAGTTAATCTGCAATTTCACGAAACCTGCAATGAAGTCAAGTAGAAGCAACACATTCAGTGGGTTGGGGGCATACAACCACCCTACCACCACTTGCTTCAACCACACTCAACCTCCAACATTGAAGACACCGACGGCGCCAGGACGAGGTACTACAACGAGTCTCTGATGGCGTACGGGGTTCTTCTACGCAATATGTCGCTGGCGGAGCAACTGAGCGTCCGCTCATACAAAACTTCACATGCTCCAGCCCTCAACGCTTGGCGCCACTTGAATGGCGTGTATCAGCCGAAGGACTCCGTTTCTTTGAGCCGGTTGCTCCAGCAGCTACTGGAGACCAAAATGGCCCCAGCGGTGAAGGCCAACACCTACATTAATCGCTGTCGGAGCCTTCGTGATCAAATTGCGAAGTTGGGAAGCTCGATCTCAACGGAAATTTTCGTCAACATCGTGCTTCAAGGGCTCGGCCCAGAGTGGCGGCCCTGCAAGGTGCTTCTCCGACAGCAGGGGGTCATATCGGAGGCCGCCCTTTGCGCCGCCCTTCTCGTCAAACAGAGGGACATGGATCAGCAGAGACCAGCGCCGCGACGAGAACGAGGATGGCTCGCCTTCTACGCCGACAACACCGAAGAGCGACGGCCACGGCGCCTCTACTGCAAAATTTGCAGAAATTTCGAGCATTTGGCAGATCGATGCAAATACCGATCTCGCCCTTGCCAGACCAATCCGAGCACAAGGGCGTGTCAATTTCGAAAAGCATGCGGGTGTCAATTTTCGATGCCATTTGTGTTTAGGTCTTTCTATTTCGGATTTGAACCTCTGATTCAAATTTGTGGTCAGGGTTACGATAAACGTAATCCTAACGTGACTGTTTTTCATTAGTCGCAAATATATGTTCAATATCGTCAACACCTCCTGGTTGTTTTCAAGTTTGGTTTCGATCCCTGCCAGCACAGCGCGACCGCGCCTCGAGTGTGAAATTATGGGGGACATTATTTGCCCCCCCAATCTCACACCCTCTCAGGCAAAAAAAGACGCGGTTCGCGATCAGGGGGTGTGAAATTATCGAGAACAGGGTGTACATATCCAACGCCGTCCCCACCCCCACAGGTACCTATATTACCGTGGCCAACAATACACGTATGTGCACAAAAGCGCAAGGCATCGTCGTGCTCAAGGCACGGGGAAGCCGCACGCACATCACACTTAACGATGTGCTCATTCTCCAGAACCTGCGCTTCAACCTGCTTTCCGCTGCCCAACTCATGGATTGCGGCGTTGACCTCAGCACGCACCGCAAAACACGCGACATCTTGCTGCACTACGAATCGAAGACCTTTCCGCGCAGGTAGATCGGAAGAGCACACTCCGAAAACGGAGTGTACATCTTGGATTTCGACATCCCCGACTGCAGCGGCGACTCGAACGGGTTAATCGACCTCGTTCCACTGCGCTTCGAACATATTCACTGCAGGGACTGGAAACACCCTGCCGGAAGACCGTGGGTGCCGCATCACCCTCACCCACGCAAGGTGGCGCTGCACGACCTGACCCATACGGCATCTGCAGGGACTGCCACACACCTACCGCGTCAACTAGCGCGATTGCTGGTCGTGGGCTTGCCGCCATCGCCGAAGCAGAGCGACATGCACGACCAGAAGAAGGGATGTCGCAGCTGGAGCTTGAAATCACCATGTGCGGCGTGTTTGGCACGCCAGAACATCTTCTCATCGGACCCCCCTCATAGCATCTCCAGGGCATGCTACGCGGCACTAGCATCGGAACCTTCGATGCGCACGGCGAGCCGCAACCTTACACACGAGAGAAGTTTCTAGAGATTTACTCTCATCGGCGCGACTCCACGAAGAAGCTCACCGTGGAACTGGAAGAAAAATTGGCACGTCGCGAAGCCGAGGAGCTTCGCCGACAGAGTCTCGCCGAAGCGCGCTGTGTCGGAACATATAGCTTACTTGTTTCTGTAGGCTATAGTGGGGTATCCCATAAGGGGTACAACCCAATTAGGGTTTCCTATTTGTACTCACTTCATTCATAGTTCATTCATTCTCGTTCACTTCTTCTCATGGTATCGAGCAGGTTCCCCTGTGGGAACTGTTCGTAGGGCCCACCACCGCTACCGCTTAACTTTTTTTCTGCCCGGGGCGCGCTCCGGGCCCTCGTACTTCCTTTTTTTTCGATCTGCCCTAGTGCTCTGACGGCCGCCCGCCCTAGCGCCCGAGCGCCGCCCGCCCTAGCGCCCTGACGGCCGCCCGCCCTAGCGCCCTGACGGCCGCCCGCCCTATCGCCCGAGCGCCGCCCGCCCTAGCGCCCGAGCGCCGCCCGCCCTAGCGCCCGAGCGCCGCCCGCCCTAGCGCCCGAGCGCCGCCCGCCCTAGCGCCCTGACGGCCGCCCGCCCTAGCGCCCGTGCGCCGCTCGCCCTAGCGCCCTGACGGCCGCCCGCCCTAGCGCCCGTGCGCCACTCGCCCTAGCGCCCTAACGGCCGCCCGCCCTAGAGCCCTGTCGGCCGCCCGCCCTAGCACCCGAGCGCCGCCCGCCCTAGCGCCCGAGCGCAGCCCGCCCTAGCGCCCTGACGGCCGCCCGCCCTAGCGCCCGTGCGCCGCTCGCCCTAGCGCCCGAGCGCCGCCCGCCCTTTCGCCCTTACGGCCGCCCGCCCTGACGCCTGAGCGCCGCCCGTCGTCGCCCCAGCGCCCTAGCGCCCGACGCCCGCGAGCCGCCCGTCGCAGCCGCCCGTGAGCTGCCTGTACGCCGCCCGCCGAGCCTCCCGTGCACCCGCCGTCCCTGAGCCGTCCGCGCCGCCGTCCCTGAGCCGCCCGCGAGCCGCCAGCGAGCCGCCCGTCGCGACGCCCGCGCCGCACGAGCCGCCCGTACAGCCGAGCCGCTCGAGCCACCCGAGCTGCCCGCGCCGCCCCAGCAACCTGAGCCGCCCGAGCCGCCCGAGCCGCCCGAGCCGCCCGCGCCGCCCCAGCAACCCGAGCCGCCCGAGCCGCCCGGGCAACCTGAGGAGCCGAGCTCCTGCTCCTGCGTGGCTGCTGCTGCTGCTCCGAGGCGTGCGCAGCTGCTGTTCTGCCGAGTTGCTGAGCCGCTGTGCTACCCGACTCTTCGTGCCCGGTGAGACAATCAGCTGCTGCAATGGCCACCCCCAGTGTCCTGTCTTTTGACGCTGAGGGTCGCGCCATTGACTTTCCAGTCTGGATTGAGGACCTGCAGCTGTACTTACTGTGCGATGCGATCGATGAGGTTTCTCTCTTTGACTTTGTCTCTGGAGCTGTCCCTGCCCCTCCTGCTGATGCTGACCCTGCTGTTCGCTCCAAGTGGGCCACACGCGATGCTGCTTCACGTCTTGCTGTGCGTCGCCACCTCCCTTCCTCCGAGCGTGCCCACTTTAGTCAGTGCAAGACCGCTCAGGCCTTGTACGACGCTGTAGTTGCACGCTACTCCTCCCCTTCCTCCGCTACGCTGAGCCGCCTCATGCTACCGTTTCTCTTCCCTGACCTCGCTGCCTTTCCCACTGTCGCTGACCTCGTTACCCACCTCCGCGCTAGTGACGCTCGCTACCGCGCTGCCCTTCCTGCTGAGTTCCGCGCCGCAAACCCTCCTCCCATGTACATCACTCTCTACTTTCTCGTCACCCGTCTCCCTGAGTCCCTTCGTGTCGTTAGGGACCAGTTTCTCTCTGTCTGTCCCACCACCCTCACTGTCGACCTCCTTGAGGAGTCCCTGCTAGCGGCTGAGAAGAGCATCGTCGCTGTAGGGGCCTCTCGGGGTGACCCTCGCACCCCCATCTTTGAGGGGTGTTCTCCTTCCCCCCTGCTGCCCTCTGTCGCTTCTGCCGCTGCGGCCGACCTCGCTGGTTTTGAGTCGGTCGGTGCGGCGTCTGCCCCCAGCGGTAGACGCCGCTCTGGCAAGGGCAAGGGGGGCAAGGGAGCGGGTGGAGCTAGAGGGGGCAGTGGCGGAGGAGGTGGGGGTGGCGGAGGGAGTGGGGGTGGTGGTGGAGGTGGTGGCGGGAGTGGAGGTACTGGTGGAGGCGGTGGAGGCGGAGGTGGCGGCGGAGGCGGTAGCGGAGGAGGCGGGGGCGAGGGTACCGGTGGGGGCGGTGGCGGTGGAGACGGGGGTGGCGGTGGAGGCGGGAGTGGCGGTGGCGGCGGGGGTCGGAGTGGCTCGTCCCAGCGGAGCAGCTTTGGGGGTGGCCAGCGCCAGCAGCAGCAGCAGCAGCAGCAGCAGCAGCAGCAGCAGCAGCAGCGCTCTCGCACCATCCCCGCCCCTCAGCAGCTCCGTGAGTGGTACTTGCAGCGTCAGCGTGGTGGTGCGTTTGGTCCTTGCCCCTACGTTCTTCGCACCGGTGACCGTGCGGGGGAGAGGTGTGGAGGCACCCACGCAGCCCGCCGCTGCTTTGGCCGCCTGACCGACACCTGGCGTCAGCAGTTTCCGGAGGCCGCTGAGATCCCCCGCTGGGGGGAGCTGTCTAGGGCTGGTGTAGCCATTTATGATCTTGACTTTGATGCTATTCTTTCTGCTATGTATGCTATGACTGGTAGTGATGAGGATGACTGTTACCGGTGTTTCCCGCCCGACCCGGGCATTGGTACTGCTGCGTCAGGTGCTAGTGAGGCTGCTGCTCTAGGTGCCAGTGCGTCTGTGCTCTCAGGTACTGGTGAGTTTGCCCTCTCAGGTACTGTGTCGGCTTCGGCCTCTCACACCTTCACCCTTGACTCTGGAGCGTCTCGCTCCTTCTTTTGGGACCGCACCACTCTCACGCCGCTGAGTCGGCCGGTTGTGGTGTCCCTGGCTGACCCCTCTGGGGGGCCTGTCCTGTCTCGCTTCTCCACGGTCCTTCCGTGTCCGGCGGCCCCCTCTGGCACCCTGACTGGTCTCTACCTCCCCTCGTTCTCGACGAACCTGGTGAGTGGTGCTGACCTACAGGATGCGGGTGTCCACCAGTTCACTCCTGCTCGTCAGCGAGTGACCCACTGCACGGAGGCTAGCACGGGACGCCACCTGGCTACGTTTACACGTCGGCCAGGGTCGAGCCTGTACACACTGACCACTGCTTCTCCTCCAGGTGCTGAGTCTGGTAGGGTCCCTTCGTCTGGTCAGGTGTTTGCCGCAGCGTCCAGGTCTGGTCCTGAGTCTGCCCCCTGTTCGTGTCGTCGTCTGTCTCACGAGACCCTCCTCTGGCACCACCGCCTTGGCCACCCCTCTCTGCTTCGGCTCAGAGGCATGGCCTCCCGTCTTCTTGTGTCTGGTCTCCCCCGGTCTCTACCTCCCCTTCCTCAGGGCCCTGGCCCTACCTGTGTCCCCTGTGTCGAGGGGCGCCAGCGTGCTGCCCCTCACTCCTCCCAGTTTCCTCCGACAGAGGCCCCGTTGCAGACGCTTCACATGGACGTGTGGGGCCCAGCCCGCGTCCGTGGACAGGGTCAGGAGCGCTACTTCCTGCTCGTTGTTGACGACTACTCGCGTTACACCACGGTCTTCCCCTTGCGCAGCAAGGGTGAGGTCACTGAGGTGCTGATCGACTGGATCCGCGCAGCTCGTCTTCAGCTCCGGCAGAGCTTTGGCTCCGACTTTCCTGTGTTGCGTCTGCACTCGGACAGAGGCGGAGAGTTCTCCTCTGGCCTTCTGCGTGCCTACTGTCGTGCGCGAGGCATCCGCCAGTCCTTCACGCTTCCGGACTCCCCGCAGCAAAATGGGATTGCTGAGCGCCGCATTGGCATGGTCATGGACGTCGCCCGTACGTCCATGATGCATGCGGCTGCCCCCCATTTTCTGTGGCCGTTTGCGGTCAGGTACGCCGCGCATCAGATCAACCTCCACCCCAGGGTCTCCAGGCCGGAGACCTCCCCAGCCCTGCTGTGGACGGGGAAGGTTGGCGATGCGTCGGCGTTCCGGGTCTGGGGATCTCGGGCGTTTGTCCGCGACTTGTCTGCGGACAAGCTGTCCCCTCGCGCTGCTCCCTGCGTCTTCCAGGGGTTCCCCCCCGACGCCCCTGGGTGGCAGTTCTACCACCCCACCTCTCGACGTGTTCTGTCCTCCCAGGACGTCACGTTCGACGAGTCGGTACCCTACTACCGCCTCTTCCCCTACCGCACTCCGTCCCTCCCCCCACCCCCGCTCTTCTTGGTACCAGGTCCCCCCCCGGTAGACCCCCTCCCCCCTCAGGGTCCTGCCCCTTCAGGTGTGTCCCAGGTAGACGCGGTCGAGCCTGTCGAGGTCACTGGTGACTCTGGTGCTGCTGCGGGAGCTGAGCCTGGGGGTGCGGAGCCTGGGGGTGCGGAGCCTGGGGGTGCGGAGTCTGGGGGTGCTGAGCCTGGGGGTGCTGAGCCTGGAGGTGCCGAGCCTGGGGGTGCTGAGCCTGGGGGTGCTGAGCCTGGGGGTGCGGAGCCTGGGGGTGCGGAGCCTGGGGGTGCTGAGTCTGGGGGTTCTGAGCCTGGGGGTGCTGAGCCTGGGGGTGCTGTGCCTGGGGGTGCTTCGTCTCGCCGGGAGCCACTCTCCCCACAGGAGCTGCGTGAGTGGTTTGCCAGGCGCTGGAGGCGTGCTACTGGTGCTGGTGGTTCTTCGGCTGCAGAGGGTACTGCTGCGGCGCGTCCCGGAGGTGCTCGTAGTGTGGGTGCTGGAGCTGCTGGGTCTGAGGGTTCTCCTGGAGCTGGTGCTGCTGAGGGTGTTGGCGCTGTGCCTGCCGCTGACGGTCCGACTGACAGTGCTCCTGGTGCTGCTGCTGGAGGTTCTGGTGCTGCTGGAGGTGCTACTGTAGTGGGTGCTCCTGCTGGGGGTACTGGTGCTGTTCCTGCTGTTTCTGGCGTCGCCGCGCGGCCCCGACCGTACTTCGTTCCGCTCCTGCAGCAGGTTCTTGGTCTTACACCTCCTACTCCCTTAGAGGGTCCGCAGCCTGTCCGGTCACAGCCACAGCTACAGCCTGCCTCCCCTTTGCCTGCTCCTTCTCCCTACGCTGGTCCGACTGGAGGTCTTACCGAGCGTCGTGAGCCTGCGTCTCGTCCTGCGTCGCCTGTTCGTACTGAGCGCGCTAGTGGTCGCGGGTCGCGTCAGCGTCCTCCTCCTGTCCGTGGCACGCACCGGATGTCACTGCGTCCGTCCACTGCTCCTCTACGTGCCCCTTTGCCTTCTCCTCCTGCTTCCTCTCTTCCTGCTCTTGCCGACCCGGAGTCGGACTCTCTTCGTGCTGCCAGTCCTACTGTCACGCGTCTTCTTGCTACTGCTGTCACTGACCCTTCCTTCGAGTCGTCTGCTGCTTCTACCCTTGTCACTGAGCTTGTCGACTTTGCTGCACGCTTTCGTCTAGACTACGCTGCCAGTCTTGTCGCTGAGTCTGAGTCTGCCTGTCCTCCGTCCGTCGGGGGTGAGTGTGCCCTCGGCACGGACGTCCTTGAGGACAGGCAGGAGGAGTTCCAGTGTCTGGCAGCCGCTTCACCTCATCTCGCGTCTGTACTGCTAGCCCCTGAGGGAGACCCGGATGCACCAGACATCCCGACTCCGCGCTCTTACGCGGAGGCGATAGAGGGTCCCTACTCCTCTCAGTGGCAGGCAGCTATGGATGCAGAGATGGCTTCCTGGAAGTCCACAGGCACCTACGTCGACGCTGTTCCCCCTCCTGGGGCGAACATCGTCAGTGGCATGTGGATTTTCAGGGTGAAGCGGCCGCCGGGCTCTCCGCCTGTCTTCAAGGCGCGTTACGTGGCTCGTGGCTTCAGTCAGCGGCAGGGGGTTGACTACTTTCAGACCTTCTCCCCCACCCCAAAGATGACTACTCTTCGGGTTCTGCTGCACGTTGCTGCTCACCGTGACTACGAGCTGCACTCTCTCGACTTCAGCACAGCTTTCTTGCAGGGCAGTCTGCACGAGGAGATCTGGCTGCGTCGCCCACCTGGCTTCACTGGGTCTTTCCCTCCTGGTACCCAGTGGAGTCTCCGGCGTCAAGTCTACGGTCTCCGCCAGGCGCCTCGTGAGTGGCACGACACACTGAGGACTACGCTCGCGGCACTTGGGTTTGCTCCGTCTACTGCCGACCCGTCGCTGTTTCTGCGCACCGACACCTCTCTGCCGCCGTTCTACATCCTCGTGTACGTCGATGACTTGGTCTTTGCCACAGCTGACACTGCTGGACTCGCCTACGTGAAGTCCGAGCTGCAGAAGAGACACACGTGCACTGACCTGGGTGAACTGCGTAGCTACCTTTGCTTGCAGATCACCCGGGACAGAGCGCGCCGCACCATTACCCTGACTCAGTCACACATGGTGCAGCAGGTCCTTCAGCGCTTCGGCTTCACGTACTCCTCGCCTCAGGCCACTCCTCTGCCTACTCGCCACTCACTCTCAGCTCTGCCTTCGGATGAGTCCGTAGAGTCGAGTGGCCCGTTTGCAGAGCTTGTTGGCTGCCTCATGTACCTGATGACCTGCACACGTCCTGACCTTGCATACCCTCTTAGCATTCTCGCACGCTATGTTGCTCCTGGGAGACACCAACCAGAGCACATGGCTGCAGCGAAGAGGGTGTTGCGCTACTTGTGCAGCACGTCGGGCATGGGGCTAGTGCTTGGAGGGCGCAGTCCAGTGGGCACGCAGACGCTTCTTGGGCTGACGACCAGGCTACGCAGCGGTCGTCACAGGGTTACACCTTCAGCCTTGGTTCCGGCTCTGTTTCGTGGCGGGCTACCCGCTCGTCTTCTGTTCTCGGCTCCAGTTGTGAGGCTGAGATCTACGCCGGGGCTATGGCTGCGCAGGAGTTACGTTGGCTCACCTACCTGCTGACCGACCTTGGAGAGCAGCCTCGTTCTCCTCCAGTCCTGTACGTAGACAACAAGGCCATGCTGGCCTTGTGTCGAGAGCAGCGAGTGGAGCACAGAACGAAGCACATTGCTCTCCGCTACTTTCTTGCTCGTGAGCTACAGCAGCGTGGACAGTTGCGACTTGCGTACGTGGCCTCTGAGGCCAACACTGCTGATGTCTTCACCAAGGCACTTGCGCCTTGTGATCATCAGCGTTGTTGCACGCAGTTGGGTCTTGTGCCTGTCTTGCCTCACTTGCTCTCCTCTTGACCTTGCTTGTACCTTCGCCTATATATACTCTTGCTCTTGCTTGCTTGACTCTTGTATATCTCTATATATGATCTTGTATGTGAACTGGCCTTCTGGCCTTTGAACTTGTGCTCGGAATGCGTGGTGACTTTGTGATCCACCCTGAGCTTTGCTTTGCTTTGCTTGACTGGTCTTGTGACCCCTTGTTCTCCCCCACTTTGCCTATGGGGGTGTGTCGGAACATATAGCTTACTTGTTTCTGTAGGCTATAGTGGGGTATCCCATAAGGGGTACAACCCAATTAGGGTTTCCTATTTGTACTCACTTCATTCATAGTTCATTCATTCTCGTTCACTTCTTCTCACGCTGGACATTCGCTTGCGGCGCATGGGGGGCCGACGAGGAGGAGAGCGCCTCCAATGAAGGGGAGTGGGGAAGCGCTGGCAGATGGGGAACGAGTGACACCGGCGGATGGGGCAACATCGGCGGTACATGGGCAACCGCATGTGGTGGCTGGGGCGTTGCAACTGGCGACGAAGGCAGCGGCTGGGGAGCTTCCCGCGAAGACCAAAAGGGGGGAGAAGAAACTGAGGCAACACCTGCAGCTGTTCCCCTTGGTTGCCCCCCGCGTCGTGCTCCACCCGCGTTACCTCCTCCCGATATTCCACCGCATTGCGATCCCTGGGACACCATTGACTGGGGCAATGAGCCATCAGCCCCACGTCGCACCGTTTACGGACCTGCTCCCAAACCGCGCGAACCCACCTTCGTCCCCGGAACTATCCCCGGGACCAACATCTCTCTTTTCGTAATCCGCGACAGAGAGTTCTTGGCGCGAATGCTAACTACCACCAACAACGAAGACGATGAAGCAGCAGAAGAAGCAGCCGCAGAACCTACCCCTGTACCTGACGAAGATCCCGAATAAGCTCGCGCGCGCTTTATGCGCACCTCCGGTTTTTGCGCTGACAATGCACTCTGGCATCAGCGCCTCGGGCACCCTTCACGCGCGACGCTGAAAAACTGCATTGACGCGGGAGTTTTCGCTCCTAGCGCACTCCTGCACCCAAATGGCACTGAAGTGAGAGGCGCGACACATCCGCGCAACTGCACCGCCTGCCCGGAAGCCGCGCTAAGCCACCAGCCGTTCCTGCTGCTTGAGCCAGGGACGAATCGCTACCCCAAGCTACACAAGGTGTACAGTGACTTCATGAACGTAGGGCACCGCGGAGTCAACGACGAGCTGTACACGCTCACCTTCATCGATGTTAGAACACGCTATGTGTGGGTCGTGAACGTGGAAGCGCGCAGTGGAGCATACGAAGTATTACGTCTCTGGCTGGCGCACGCGCAGCGGCAATCTGTGGAGAAGCTGAAGATCTGGCAATCTGACGGTGCAGCAGAATTCAGGAGCAAGGAGATGTAGGCTTATTTGGCGCAGAAGGGGATGGAACACCACATCTCTCTCCCCTATGCGCATCAGCAGTAGGGCGTAGCCGAGCGTACCAACCGCACGCTCATGACGAAGGTGCGCGCGCTAATGAAGCAGTCGAAGCTTCCGCCAACCTACTGGACGTACGCGATGCACGACGCCATACGGGTACATAATCTGTTGTCAACCACTGCGATCACCGGCAACCTCTCCCTGCATGTGAAGTGGATGGGGACTAAGGGCGACACTTCCATGCTCCGCGTGTGGGGGTGCATGGTTCAGTACCGCCTGCCAACATCAACCATTGGTAAATTCAGGAGCCGCGCACGCTGGGGGATCCACCTCGGCATGAGTCACATATACAAGGCGTGGCTCATCCTAGATCTCTTGAGCTAGAAGGTTAAAAACGCGCGCGGCGTCATTTTCTACCTGTGTTTATTCCTTCAGCAGTTCTGCGAAGACGAGCAGACGAACGCGAACCGCGTTTACGCCAATGACGGGCACAGCTACGCCACGCCAGAAGACGAAGCTGCTGCGGCCATTCTGGAGCAAGACCCCAGAGGCGAGTTCACGAGAGGTGATCGTCGCGATGACGACGGTGACGATGACTCATCTGAAGGAGGAGCGGGCGCAGCAGGAGGCGCAACTGGAGGAAGCGGAAGCGGCGGAGGCACAACACCACCAGCCCGACCTGAGCCGGAGAGTGATGACGACGTCGTACAAGAGGTCGTCCCACAGCATCGCCACGATAGCACCGTCGTCGGAATGCAACTCCTCGGGCTTCACGCCGCCACCTCAACGGCGCCACGTCTCATCGAACTAAGGAACCCGCGCCAAGCTCTCTCAGGACCACCTAGCAAGGAGTGGCGAAATCAAGGCCCTCGAAACCTGAGATATCTGGGTGCTCGTCGACCGCACCGCAATCAAGGGTGCAAGAATCCTCTCCGGCAAATGGTTCTTCCGCATGAAGATCGTAGCGGATGGCACGATCGAGCGCTTCAAGCTGCGGTGGGTCGTGCGCGGCTACGATCAGAGGCACGGAGTTGACTTCGGTCAAACATTCGCGCCGGTAAGCCGTCACACCCCCGTCAGAATTCTCATCGCCATCGTCGCCGCACGACATCTGCCGCTCCGACAAATCGACGTGAAGAATGCGTTCCTATACGCGTTAGTAGATGTAGTGATCTATATGGAGCAGCTGCACACTTACGGAGAAGGGGACTCGCGAGTGTGCCAACTGCGCAAATCGTTTTACGGGATAAAACAGGCACCAAGGCTCTGGCAGCAGTATCTGCACAACATTCTGCTCAAAGTCGGCTTCAAGCAGATGCCCCGCGACCCAGGAATGTACCGCCGCGATTTCCGCGGAGATTACCTTTTGCTCACCGTCTACGTCGACAGTTTGCTATACACAGGGTCAAGCAACGAACTGCTCGAGCAGTTCGAGAAGAATCTGGCAGGGCGCGTCGACATCACCTGCAACTACGAAGTGAAGCAGTTCTTAGGACTCAATATCTCCTACGAGCCAACAGCTATCCACCTCTCAGCGGCTAAGTATGCAGAGGAGCTTGGGAAACGCTTCAACATTTTCCCTGCACCGTTTTCCACCCCTTATCGCACTCCTGGGCCGAACCACAAACCCGATAACAAAGCCCTATCCCCCGCTGGCATTCAGACCATCAGCACCATCTGGGATGCCTGCTCTTTGCCTCTATCACCTACAGGCCCGACCTTTCCTCCATTGCGAGCCAACGGGCTCAGTACTCTCGCAAACCAACAGCTACGAACCTTCTGGAACTGCTGCGCGCTCTACAGTCCTTCATCTCAACGCACAAGATTGGGCTCTGCTACTCAGCACTACCGACCCCATCCTTCAACCGCACCAAGCACATTGCGCTGCGATATTTCTTCGTAAAGGACGAAGTGGACAAGGGCAAGGTCAACTTGACGTACTGCCCAACAGGTGACATGGTAGCTGACTTCATGACGAAGCGACTGCCACGCCAGTACTACCAACAGTGCTCCGAACTCAGTGGAGTGGTCAAGCAGGTCAAGACGAGCTATGGCCAGGAGTGAAGGGGGGTGTTACGAATAGAAAATATCATTGTGCACTCCTGACGGCAGCTAAGTGAAGTACGCAGTATCGAGAATGAATGCGAGGAGTCAGAGTTGAGCCAAAGCGACGTAGACCGTTAGAGAGGATCTGGACCGTCGGAGCAGACGGCATCGGGCAGCTGCAGGGAAGAGGAATTTGGCGGGAACAGTTTCGTAACTGTACGCGCCGCACTGTTGGGAATGAATTTGAATAAGGGAATGTACCCCTTAGAGTACATGGCTAGCTAGGACGATTCGAATTCACTGTACTCATATTTATACTTTCTGTACTTGCATGTTTTAATCATCTCAAGCATTTTATATTCACTCTGCTATTGAGGTCAAGGGCCCACCACCACTAAGTAAATAGTTTGCGAACCTTCTTGAGGTGATCCTGGCTATGATAAACCTTTGATCGCGACAGGGCGGGCATATGGGCAGGAGAAATCGACTGGAAGAAAGTTATAAAAATCCGGGACTCCCTGGTGACACCAAACAGACCGTGCGACGTGCTGCTTAGAGTTCATAGCCTTAACCTGCAAGTGGGAGAAAGGCTTTCCTTCCTAGGTGGCAAGCCGGTTTGCCCGCACTGTAGAGAGTTTGAAACCTTAGAGCACTGCCTTTTCAGTTGCCCGCGCATCCAGCAAGTGGTGGTGGCAGTCAGGTAGGCGGGCCATGCGCATGCTGAACCCAGCGAGGCAAGTGTCGGAACTGGGGGACCTACTGTTCGGGAAGGCAGCATCAGCCACATCGTTCCCCGAAGCGTCTCTCTCTGCAATTGCAGTTCACCAGCTCTGGGCAGAGCGATGCGAGTGTGTGTTTCAGGGGAAAAGGTTCCGGGCTCGGCGGATCCTCAGACGCATCGAGGCAGCCTTTCGGCTGCATGTGAAGGTGTACACGCGAGCAATGGGGAAGAAGATTGGCAGAGGTGGCGGTTTGAAGGGACACGGCAGGATTCATGCGCTGGCAGAGCAAGAGGCCAGCTTGCTTGGACGTATTCGGTGCCGGGCGGTGAGAGGTTGGAAATGGACGCACAATTTCGACGCGTTATGGAGTCTCGCAAGGGTGGCTCTGCATCCGCCTTGGAAGCTTCACGTGAGGCCACCACGAGGGTTCGACCTCTCACGCTCAGTTACGAATGACATATACCTCTTTTACGCTTGTTACTTCGGTGTATTTGGATGTATTCATAATGAAAAAAAAATCTCAATGATTTGTTTTATAACATTCTCAAAGTATCATTACCATTCAACTGATCAATAGAATATGATGGGGTTCAAATCTCATAATCACGCATAGTGTTTGAATTGACATATATTCCGGATGCTAATGTCGGGTACTAACATTTCTTCCCTGGTTTGTCGGTTGCTGCGAGTGTATGGTATGGCCTCTGGTTCCCTCCCGCCGTGTTCCCCCCTATCCTTTCCCCTTCTTCAAACCCTCTTCTCTGCCATCTCAAGATTTCGTTTCTGACAGATTCCTGACCAGCACATCTTGCTCGTTCGCATTCAATCACCACGATCCAATAAAATACCACGTGATGGCGTCGTCGCTTCCTCCCGCGCCAGAGTCCCTGGTCGACAACTTGCCGCCGGTCTCGCCCACAGCAGCGATCAAGGCGGCTGTTGTCCGCATTACTGCGGCCGCCACTGGCGGTGCTGTGCTCGGCGGTGCTCTAGGCTTTGGTAAGCCGAATGGCATTCAGTAAATGATGGTTAATACCTGATGGTCAACTCGCGATTAGTGGCTTGTTAAGGCTGCGAAGCTTTATCAAGGTCACTTATGATCAGTTGTCCACGTGTCGGCCTCTCGCCAGTCTCAGTCTTTTGGGACAACCACTTTGCGCCGAGATGCGCCACTCGTTTATCGCCTTCTTAAAACGGGCGATTCCTGTGAAGTCTCTGGAGACCCTGTGTGTCCCGTCTCGTTTGAATCATGCCACCTCCTGCGGACCATAAGGCTTCGCCGTTAAACCTTTCAAGAGGCTCATGTGTCGCTGTCGCTGCTTTAATGGATATAACTGAATCTCGTCAATCCACTTGTTCGCCTCATTCTTCGCTTCAATGTCTCACTCATTCTCTCGATTGTCCCCCTCATTTTCCCTCATTGTCCCCCTCATTGTCCTCCTCATTCTCTCCATTGTCCCTTCATGGTCCGCTTCATTGTCCGCCGTCTCCGCGCCCATGCAGGGCTGGGCTTTGTGGCGCGCGAGGGCACCAAGGTAACCATGCGCGAGTCTGCCTTCGGCCTCAAGGTGAGATGAGACCAAATGATACCCATGTTGTCCTGTTACGTGATCCGGACCCCATTGTGCCTTGATCCACCCTCTTATTCATCGTGCCTTGATTCACCCTCTTATTCATCGTGCCTTGATTCACCCTCTTATTGATCGTGCCTTGATTCACCCTCTTATTCATCGTGCCTTGATTCACCCTCTTAACGAATGGCTCTCAACTACGGTTCAAGTGTAAGCTGACTGCAAGGGGGTCCTGATCCTTGTCGTATGGGAGCCCCTTAGGCTGATGAAGGCTTGCAATCTCCGACCTACAAGTGCCATTAAAGCCCGTGCCCCAAATTGCAGAGCGCGCGGGGCAAGATCATCAATCTTGCCCGACTGGCGTTTTGAGTGCTGTATCTTGGTGCTAAACTGGTTGAGGCCTAACTCAGTGCTAAACCTTCAGGTCCAGCATTCTGCGATTTATGACTCTCGGTCCCAAAACAGACAGTTGGCCCTGGGGTTTGCTGACTCAGCAAGAAAGGGCAAAAGGTAGGGCGAAATCTGACAACCCCACCCTCCCAACACCTGCTCGACTTGGCGTTCACCTCCCAAACCACCCAGCCCTCAGCCTTGCGCAAGCTTTCTAATCTTGGGCAATTTAGGCTGCGGGCTTTAAGATGTAGTTGTAATCCCACAAGTGAATGCGAACCAGTCAGCCCATGTATGAGCCATGCTCTATGCGAGAACTGGTGTGTGTGAAATTTTGCTGTGTGCGATCTGTTGATGCGTGCGAGTTAACCATTCATGTTGTGGACCAGCCGGAGTTTGCAAAATGCAGGCTGACCCTGTTTCTTTACCTGCTCATGCTTCCCAACCTTGTTCCCAGACCGTGGCTATCATGTCAGCTGTCTATGCTGCCACGACAGCAGCTATTGAGAACCTGAGGAATGATCTACTTGACAGTGAGTGCCTTGCTGACGATTGACGTGTGTCAAGCATATGTCATGCTTCGATCGCTCTACTTCTACTTACTGCCCTGTGTTCCACTTCATCTAGAATTTTTTGCATTCACATTCCCCTTCTCCCCTCCTAAAACTCCTCCACTGGTGATCAGTTGCTGTCCTTATCTCAATCTTTTTCTTTCCATGTCAATATCCCAATGTTCCTGCCTGCCTGTATCAGGTGCAAAGCCAGGGCTTGCTGGATGTGCAGCTGGACTGGCAGCAAGTGTCCCAGGTGAGATTCAAGGGTTTCTCAATGAGCCTGCTCTCCATGTCCCTGTTAGCAATATTTCCCACATCATCTCTGCTGTCCTGGCTTGCAGTCTCTGTCCCTCTATCGCGGCCACATTCTCTCCACGTTTTGCTCTCCCTCCCATTTATGGGAAATGCTCTTGTGATTACTTTTTGGTTCGGCTGCTGCAGGTCCACCAATGGCAATGCTGCAAGGATGTGCTGCCTTTGGCCTCCTTTCCTTCGTCTTGGATTTCTTTGCACCGGCTGAAGCATCCGCCAGTCCACTCAGACTCACAAAAGACCTTCGTTCCAACTGGAGAGCGCGAAGTGCATCAAAGAAATTTTCTTCAAGGCCTGAATCTCCACTTGATAGCTTGCTTTCCCTCGCCCTGCCCACATCCAGTGTTGCATCGCCTCCACTCCACTAACAACATTCCACCTGATCCCGACTCAACTCAGTTTCTGGTTTCTGGACAAGGATCGGCCTTGTTAGTTTAGTAGGGGATTTTAGCAGGCGTTAGACGGTTTTTGCAATGAGTCAACAACGTATGGTAGTACAGATTGATTCAGGACAGCACACCAGTACCCATATGTGCCGTGTGTAGTATAGGAACTAAGCTTGTGTCTTCTATAAAGCTTGAGACCAAGAGGTGCACGCTGTCCGCTATTTGCGCAATAGACGGGGATTTTCTGTTTCAGGGAACCTTTTTTTTTTTTTTGCGTGAATCCGCAACACCTGACCTGACCTGACCTGGACCCACAGTGCACGCATGTCCGCGTTCGTGTCGGTCAAGTGCGACACTGGGCAAATCATTACACCTAGTCCGCGGTATTTTAACCGGCGCTATCTTAACCACGCGAGGGTACTTCTCCTTTATCAAACTTATTTAGTCGGGTTGTTTCAAACTTTACGAGGGTAGAATCTAGCATTCCCTTCGCGGGATGACAGCAGAAAAAACTCAGTGAATGCCCAGTGTGACAAATGTCAATCCGTCTATCTTGGAGCACTAAGTGTGAGTTCCTTAGATGGAAGTGCTTTCGGTTGCAGAATCGTAGCCTCGATGACTCTGGGTGCTAATAACATTACCCAGAAACGAACAAAGGGGGTTTGAAAGAACAAAGTTCACCTGGTTAAAATACCGCGGACTAGGTGTACGATTGGCGCCGCAAAATTCGCCAGCCTAAGGTAACTTCTGTGAGATTTTCGCGAATTGGATTCTACGGGGTGTTGCCATTCCCTCGCATTCCCGAATGCTTGCGAAACAAAAATCTTTCTTCCAGCATTTCCCATCAGTACGGAAATCTGCGAAGGGGACAAGGAGATGCACTGCTGCTGCTGAACCTAGCTGGCAAACAGCCTGGGGGGACGGGGACATGCTTGCGCCTCTTCTACTTGCTTGCTGCGTCTCCCTTCTTGCTCCCATTGCTGTGGCGTCTCTCACTCCGCTCCGCACTTGTCGGAAGAGTTTCCCAGACCATGTTAGCGAAGGTCGATGACACCGCTTAGACCGTGACTCGCGCTGTCTGGCGTCTACTGGCGACTGCAGATTCGTTAGTCTCGTAACGCCACGTGCATGATGGTGTCGCTGTAGACACATAGCCTCACGGACCGCTTCCCATTCATAGATCCAGCTTGCTCTGAGCCCGTCGATTGAGACGAAGCTTTTCGTCATGACGGGTGAATGGCGTCCGGCTGTTGCGAAGCGTCGCGTCGTGACACGGTCTCCTGGTGCCTCGTTACTGTTCTCGCACTCTCCGGCTTTCGCGGCCGCGTGCCTGCTACTCTGCACTCTTGCGGCACCCCTCGTCTCCTCGCCTGCTTCTGCCGCCCCTTCACCTGACGGTAACCACGCAACGGTACCCCTCTGACGGCCATGACCCTTTTTCATCGCTCCGTTCGCTTTCCCCTTCGTATCCCACCCCTTCTCCCCCATCTCCCCCCTTCCCCCCTCCCCTTTCCCTCGTCCCCTCCTCCCCTTTTCCCCACCATCCTCCTATTTCCCCCGTCACTTCCGCTGCTGGGCCTCTGTCGGTTACCCTTTCTCTATTTGTTGATTCGAATTCGACAAGGCTCTTTTGTGCGAATTCCCCTCCTCCCCTTTTCCCCACCATCCTCCTATTTCCCCCGGCTCTTCTGTGCTATCTCTCCTTCCTTGAACTCCTCCCCATACGTCGTTTTCCCAATGTCGTTCTTCTGCGGTCGTCGTCGTCTCTCTCTCTCTCTCTCATCATGTTCTCACTGCGTACAACTCTCCGTCCCCTCCGCGCCCACTTTCCGCGTGCACTCCCCGTGTCCATTTACCGCGTGCACTCCCCGCATCCATTTTCCGCGTGCATTCCCCGCGTCCATTTCCCGCGCGCATTTCTCGCGTCCGCTCCGCGCGCTTGCCTTCCCGCGCCGTCCGTTCCATCAGCGGAAGCTCTTCTCCGCGTGCGCGCGACGCTTCAGCTGTCGCAGGAGTCCGCACTGCCGTCGTGGACCGATGCGACGAGTCCGTGCGACGGCGGGTGGGAGGCGGACGTTAGATGCGACCCTGACACCAACCAAGTCGTCCACCTGTAAGTACCCTCCCCCAAGGCCCCCCCCAGACAGATACGGAATGGCATCTACCTGGAGAATCGCCTGGTATGTGCTAGCTTGCAACTCTTATCCGTCCTCCTTTTCCCGTCGTTTCACCCAGCGACGTATCTGGCTCGCATCCTTCAGTTCCAGCTCCTAGACTCACGCGCACCATCTTAAATGGGGATACGATATCTCGTTCCACCTTTCTCCACGCAGCCACACATTCAACCCTGTATTAGTCGGGGATATGATATCCATCGGGTCCAATCCAGTCCAATTTCAGGTCCTCCCTCCTCCCTACGAACCTACCCTGTCCCCCATTCTTTCCTCCTTCCGTCCTCCCTCCCTCCCTCCCTCCCTCCCTTCCTTTCCTCCCGTCCCCCTTCCCCGTTCCCTTGCCCTTCCCCAGTGACATATCCAGCTTGCAGCTTTCGGGGCCCATCCCAGGCACGGATCTCGCGCAACTCTCCTACCTCACTTACCTGTCAGTGCTCACCTCATACCTACTTGCTCATCGTGCTTGAGAGTTGGAACTGGTTGGTAGGCACGCAGTGGGCGTGTGAAGCAATGAGCTGTCAGTGTGTCTGCCGTGCTCACAGCGTGTTGCGTTGACGGGCGGTGTGAGATGAGAACGAGTGGTTTGTCGTGGCTGGCACCACACGCACATGAACAGCACAGGATTAAGGTGTGTGCGTGTTCAGCGCAGGGGAACACATGCTAGGCTGATCTTTGCTTGCCCCGGGATAGGGGTTTGGGAGCGGGGTGTTCAAAGCGCAAGGGTTATGGGGTTTAAAGTTGAGACTGTAGAGTTTCGGTCCCGGTGGAACACATGCTAGGCTGATCTTTGCTTGCCTAACGGGGTAGTCACTCTACAGAGTTATGTCTGGTTGTTAGTCAGAATCCAAGGAACCATCGGAAAGTTGTGCGTCTGGTTTATGTGACCCTGACTTGGCTTCTCAATCCAATGAGCTCACAAATGATCAAGGTGCTACGCAGCTCCATCTCCCCTCTTCACTCACTCTTCCCCCCTCTCCCCCTCTCTCTCCCCCTCTACCCCCCTCACTCCCCCAATACCCCCTCACTCCCCCTCTACCCCCTCACTCCCCCTCTCTCCCCCTCCCCTCCTCTCTCTCTCTCTCTCTCTCTCTCTCTCTCTCTCTCTCTCACAGGGCGTTGGATGGCAACACCTTCTCGGGCTCTCTGCCAGCAGACCTCTCCAGGCTGTCAGCCCTGAAGCACCTGTACGTGCTGAGTCGCTCTGCAACCTGTACGTGCTGAGTCGCTCTGCAACCTGTACGTGCTGAACCGCTCTGCAACCTTTGACGCGCCTCAAAAACCGCATGAACTGACACGATTTTTTGAAGTGCCTCAAACAGCTTCTTGAGCTCTCTGCCAGCAGACCCCTCCAGGCTGTCAGCCCTGAAGCACCTGTAAGCGCTGACTCTCTCACTCACACGCCCCTCGATGTAGAGGTGCTCTTGGCACTTGTACGCTCTGGAGCACCTCGCACGCCCCTCACCACTCACCCCGCACGCCCCTCACCACTCACCCCGCACGCCTCTCACCACTCACCCCGCACGCCCCTCACCACTCACCCCGCACGCCCCTCACCACTCACCCCGCACGCCCCTCACCACTCACCCCGCACGCCCCTCACCACTCACCCCGCACGCCCCTCACCACTCACCCCGCACGCCCCTCACCACTCACCCCGCACGCCCCTCACCACTCACCCCGCACGCCCCTCACCACTCACCCCGCACGCCCCTCACCACTCACCCCGCTCGCCCCTCACCACTCACCCCGCACGCCCCTCACCACTCACCCCGCACGCCCTTGAGCAATCTCACTCACGTGAGCAGCGGCTTAAGGCGTTTGTGCACACCACCCTCCCATGATCCCTTCTCCCCCCCATCCACGCCACGCCGTGCCCATCCACGCCTGTCGCCTCCCTCACGCTCAGCTCCCTCCCCTCTCCCACCCCCCCCCACCAGGTCGCTGGAAGGCAACGCAGTGGAGGGGCCCATTCCAGGCGACGTGCTCAACTCCCTCACCGCGCTCACCCTGCTGTGAGCCCCGTCCCCACTCCCTGCCCCCACTCCCTGCCCCCACTCCCTGCCCCCACTCCCTGCCCCCACTCACCTCCCCCACTCACCGCCCCCACTCACCGCCCCCATTCCCCCACTCCCCATGCACCATACCATGTGTCCTTGTTTCTTTGCCCTCATGACCCTAACAATCCATGCTTGTATGCCCCAATGCCCCATGCTCCCATGCGCCCGCGCCCATGCTCCCATGTCCTCTTAGCCTGGCACCATCCATGTCAAGAGCCTCTCTCTCTCCAAACCCGTTCCATTCCTCACATCCACTTCCCCTCACCTCATTACCCCCCTCCCTTTCGCCTACCCCCAATAACCCCCCTCATCCGCCTTGTGTCCGCACCACAGCAACCTGAAGACGAACAACTTTTCGGGCCAGCTGCCGGAGTCGCTCGGGGCACTCACTAACCTGGTTGCACTGTGAGTCGTGTTCGCCGTGCCTCTCTCTCTTTCCCATAGTGCACCGTGCCATGCCATAGCCATGCCATCTCCCCTCGTCCCCTTGTTCCCAACATCCCCTCATCCACGCGTCCCCTCGTCCCTTCGTGCCCTCATCTTTTTCCCCTCTCTCATCCATGCGCCTCCAGCAACCTGGGAGCCAATCAGCTGACAGGAGAGATCCCAGCAAGTTACTCCGCCCTCTCGCAAATTGTGTACTTGTGAGTTATGCCCCTGCCTGCTCCCCTTGCCACCCCTTCTCGAGTGCTCTCCCTGCTGACTTGTGCCCAGTGGCGCATGTTTCTTCGCCTGCCTCGCTCACATCTCCGCCTCCCCTTATCAGTGCTCATGTCGTTGCTTCCGTCTTTCATTTCAACACCCCTCCCCCATCGCCCCTCACTGATCGCCCCTCATTCATTGCCTCTCACCACGTCTCTACCGTCGTTCACCACCCCCCATCACCCCGCACTGCACCGCACCACCACACCATGGCAGCAAGGCGTCGCGCAACAAGCTGGACGGCGCCCTTCCCGACTGGTTCGGCTCGTGGCCTCGACTCATGGACCTGTCAGTGCCATCGCCTGTCTGTCCTCGCTTGCCCGTCCTCCTGTTCTTACCCACTAGCATCACTCTCCCCACTCTCCTCTCACTGCATACTTTGCTGTTCGCCTCCTGGCCGCGACTCATGGACCTGTCAGTGCCCTCGCTTTGCCCTCACTTGCCTCCCTGCCTCTACTTAGTTCCCCCACTCACTCTCCCCACTTTTCCTGCTCTCCCCACTCACTCCACTTTTCCTACTCTCCCCACTCTCTCACTCTCCCCACCTCTCGCAACCTTCTCACTGCATTCCATACTGCTCGACTCCTTGCCCAAAATGCATAATGGCCTCCACTCCAGACCCTCTCACACTGAAATACCCCCTCGCCCCTCTCTCTCCTACGCCACCGCCTTTTTCCCCACGCCAGAGGGATCGTGCTGTGAGCTTCCCTCAGGCTCCAATTCTGACTCTCTTAAATCAAAATATCTCCTTTCCCCCTTTCCTTCTCCTCCCCCTTTGTTCCCACCCTCTCCTTACCGCCCTCTTCTTCCCCTGCGCTCCTTCCCCCCGCCCTTGTTCTCCCCCCCACCGTTCTCCCTGCCACAGAGAGCTATTCAAGAATGGCTTCACGGGCTCCATTCCCGACTCTCTCGGCAACGTGCAATCTCTGGTCGCCCTGTAAGTCTCTCTGTCTGCTTGCGCTCGGAGTCTCTGTTTGCGCTGGGAGTCTCTGGCTAACTCCCACACTTCACAGTGCACCCCTCCTCCCTCGCTCACTTGCTCACTCACTCACTCACAAACTCACTTACTCACTCACTCAGTCACTCACTCACTATTTCACTCACTCGCTTACTCGCTCACCCACTCGCTTGCTCACTCGCATGTTCCACTCGTGAGTCGACTCATAAGTCGTTCCTTTCTTCATTGCAAATCGAACCACCTTTTCTCTCCAACTCCCTGGTCACGAAAGCATATCAGGCTCGCTGCCGAGTTTCAAGGCAACCATAAGCTCACCTCCCCTTCTCGTCCTGCGAACCACCCCCCTCGTTTCCCCATTCCCCCCCTTCCTCCTCCCCCGACTTGCTGCACCAGGTCACTGGACGAGAATGCACTGTCTGGCTCGCTGCCCGCATCACTGGGATTGCTACCACGCCTTGAAGCCCTGTGAGCTCCCCTCCCTCGCACCACCCCCCCAGCACTCTGACCGCACTCTGACAGCACTCGGACACGACTCTGACAGCACTCTGACACCACTCGGACACAACTCTGACAGCACTCTGACACCACTCGGACACAACTCTAACAGCACTCTGACCGCACTCTGACAGCACTCGGACACGACTCTGACAGCACTCTGACACCACTCGGACACAACTCTGACAGCACTCTGACACCACTCGGACACAACTCTGACAGCACTCTGACAGCACTCTGACACCACTCGGACACAACTCTGACAGCACTCTGACACCACTCGGACACAACTCTGACCGCACTCTGACAGCACTCTGACACCACTCGGACACAACTCTGACAGCACTCTGACACCACTCGGACACAACTCTAACAGCACTCTGACAGCACTCCCACCACTCTCCCACCACTCTGGAAGGATTCAGAGAATCCTTGAACGCTCTGCACCGCACAGTAGATGTTGCTTTTGAGAATTCTCAAAAGTAACATCTGCACCACACGGGGTCCTGGGACCGCCTGTCACAGCACGCACTGGTGGAACCAGGCCAATGGTCGCCTGTGACATGGCGCAGTAGTGCAAGCAAGCGGTATTACTCCAATGGGCCATTCTCAATCCCGCATGCCATCTCGCCACCCTCACACCGCTCCCCTCTCTCTCACCCTGTTCACCCGCCTCACCTCTCTCTGCAAGCATCTCTCCATCCACTCTCCCTTGTAATCGTGTCACCGCCTGCCTGCCCTGCCTCCCCTCCGTGCGTGCAGCTATGTGGTGTCCAACAATCTGGAAGGGCCCATCCCGGAGTCCTTCAGGGGCATGCAGAGCATCAAGTACATGTGAGTCCACTTCTGAGGCGCCTCTAAACTCTTGAGGCGACTTTTGTGGCGACTTTTGAGGCGACTTTTGAGGCGACTTTTGAGGCGCCTCAAGAGTCCTTCAGGTTCAGGGGCATGCAGTGCAGAGCATCAAGTACATGTGAGTCCAGATTGAGGGTTAAGAGCGTGTGAGAAGAAAGGCGTGTGAGATGAAGGGCGTGTGAGATGAAGGGTGTGTGAGATGAAGGGTATGTGAGATGAAGGGTGTGTGAGATGAAGGGTGTGTGAGATGAAGGGTGTGTGAGATGAAGGGCGTGTGAGATGAAGGGCGTGCATCTCAGGCCTGGCCATGCATCAATGCCCTGCCATTCATGCACCTCTTTCCACTCGCGTGCCGATTCACACCACGCACATTAATTTCCCTGTACAGCAACACACCGTCCCCATGCTTACGGCCAACTAATCAGCATGAGTCTGCATCGCTGTCCGCGTCCACATTTCAACAAAGCGAGTCAATGCTCGATTCTGCTCCGCCCCATTCGCACTCCCATCCCCATCCCCGTCCCACCACCCCTGCAGTGATCTCAGCTTTCAACCTGCAGCTGTCAAGCCCTCTCCCGGAATTCCGCGAGATAGAAAGCTGGGGTTTGAGACGTCTCAAAACCCTTCTCCTCTCAATCCCCATCCCGCCATCCCTATCCCGCCACCCCCACAGCGATCTGAGCTTCAACCTGCAGCTATCAGGCCCTCTCCCGGACTTCTTTGGCGCCATGCCTTCGCTTGAGTCCATGTGAGCCCTTCTCATGCCCCCAACCTCCATTGCCCCACAACTCCATTGCGCCAGAACTACATTGCGCCAGAACTACATTGCGCCAGAACTACATTGCGCCAGAACTACATTGCGCCAGAACTACATTGCGCCAGAACTACATTGCGCCAGAACTACATTGCGCCAGAACAACATTGCCCCACAACTCCATTGCCCCACAACTCCATTGCCCCACATTCCCCTTCCTCTCCACCCTACCCTCTCCTCGCCCCTGCCTTGCACCCCTCCCCTCGTGCTGTGCCCATTCTCATTCCGTTGCACACGAGTCACTCTCTTGTGCCCCTTCCCTTCTGCACCCATTGCTCCCCTCCCCTCCATTCCCCGACTTCCCGCTCCCCCATTATCCCTGTGACTTCCCGCTCCCCCATTATCCCTGTGACTTCCCGCTCCCCCATTATCCCTGTGACTTCCCGCTCCCCCATTATCCCTGTGACTTCCCGCTCCCCCATTATCCACCCTCCCTCATTACCCACCCTCCCTCACTACCGACTCTCCCATGTCTCTCCCCTCTCCCCTCCCCCTTCCCCCCTCCCCCTTCCCCCCTCCCCCTTCCCCCCTCCCCCTTCCCCCCTCCCCCTTCCCCCCTCCCCCTTCCCCCCTCCCCCTTCCCCCCTCCCCCTTCCCCCCTCCCCCTTCCCCCCTCCCCCTTCCCCCCTCCCCCTTCCCCTCTCCCCCTTCCCCCCTCCCCCTTCCCCCCTCCCCCTTCCCCCCTCCCCCTCTCCCACCCATTCCCCAGTGCCCTCGAGTCATGTGGCTTCACCGGCCCCATCCCTCCCACCCTCGCATCCCTCCCCAACCTCTGAGAGCCTCGGCCACACCGCCCTGCACGGCGCCCTGCCGCCCTCCCTCCACTCAGCCCCTCTCCCTTGTGCCCCCATCCCCCCTCTCCACCCCCTCTCTCTCCCCTTTTTGTCCTCCCAACCCCCCATTCCCCCACCCAGTGCCCTTGAGTCATGCGGCTTCACCGGCCCCATCCCACCCTCCCTCGCATCTCTCCCCAACCTGAGAGAGCTTTTCCTCGACCACAACGCGCTGCACGGCGCCCTGCCGCCCTCCCTGGCCACACTCTCCGCACTCACAGCTCTCTACCTCAACAGCAACCAGCTCTCGGGAGCGATTCCCGAGGACCTGTGTGGGCTGGGGTCGCTGGGGGTGGTCATGCTGGGACATAACGACCTGGAGGGGGCCATTCCCGCATGCCTGCTTGCGCTGCCCAACATCACCACGTTGTGAGTTGTGTGTCCGTGGCGTCCCTCTCAGCGCTCACATCGCTTTACCTTAACAGGGACAGGGACAGGGGCAGAGCAAGCAGGCACGCGGGACAGGTGGTTTTGTGTCCGTGGCGTCCCTCTCAGCGCTCACAGCGCTCTGCCTTAACAGCAACCAGCTCTCCCCGCATGCCTGCTTGCCCTGCCCAACATCACCACGCTGTGAGTCTTGGGTTGAGATGTGGGGCGAGTTGGGTTCTGCTTGGGATGCCTGTGCTGGGAGCGGTTTTGCGATCAGTACGTGGTGCGAGGTCGTGTGGCTACATACTGATCATCGCAAAGGTCCCTTTTCTCATACAGCTCTCCCAACTCACGCACCTTATTCTCCTTCATAGCATCTTCAGCTTCCCACTCTCACTGTTCTGCACACCAACATTCTCTGCTGCACTGAAACCATCCTCACCCCCTTCAATCTCTCTGCACCCACGCCACTCTACAGGAACCTGTTGTCCAACCGCCTGTCTGTCAGACCCCTTCCCACCTGTCCCTCTGCACCGTAACCCTCTCCTCTGCACCGTACCCCTCTCCTCTGCACCGTAATCCTCTCCTCTGCACCGTAGCCCTCTCCTCTGCATCCACACTCGCCCTTTTTAACCCTTCCAAACCCACCCACGCCACTCTACAGGGACCTATCGTCCAACCGCCTGTCAGGCCCCGTCCCACCCGTCCCTCCCGCCTCCTCCATTGACTTCCGAGTCGGCGGAAACTGCCTGGAAGGAGCGCCGCAGCAGCTCTCCCCTTGCCCCACAGGGTCCGACTCCCCATCCTCTCCCTCCTCCGCCTCCCCCACCCCTCCAACCGGCTCCCAAGGGAGTAGCAGCAGCGGCCCCACCGGTCTCAGCACTGGTGGTGGCAGCACTAGTAGTAGCAGTGGTGGCAGTGCGGACACTGGGAGCAGCGGTACAGCTTGGGACAACATTTGGAATGCACCCCCTTCCCAGGAGGAGGCCGCATGGCCTGGCACTGGCGGCCGCAACAGTGGCAGCAGCACCGGCAGCACTGGGAGTACTGGCAGCAGCAGCAGCAGCAGCAGCAGCAGCAGCAGCAGCAGCAGCAGCAGCAGCAGCAGCAGCAGCAGCAGTGGCGGCAGCAGCAGCGGTGGCGGCAGCAGCAGCGGCGGCAGCAGCAGCGGAACGGGGTGGGAGGACATATGGAACTCGTCCCCATCGCTGGAGGAGGGCGCTTGGCCCGTGGACCCCCTCATACAGACCGACAAACCTAAAGGCTCAGGGGCAGGCGCAGGGGCAGCAGCACACTCACCCCCGCCGTCACCCGTGCAGCAGCAGCAGCAGCAGCAGCAGCCCCCTCCGGTTCAACCTCCTCCAGTTGAACCTCCACCGGTTGAGCCGCCACCGGCCCAGCCTCCCCCGGTGGAGGCTCCCCCCCGGGCCACATACGGCGGTGAGTGGGTCTGACTGTGCTGCTGGGAGGGGGACCTGGGAGTGCGATGAGTGAGGGGCGCGGGAGGGAGCTGGGCGAAGGAGGGAGGGGGGTGAGGGAGAGGGATGGGTAAGGGGCGAGGGAGGTAGGGGGTCGTGAGAGAGAGGTGGGGGAAGTGGGGGCGTGGGGGAAGAAGGGGAGGAGAGACAACGTAAGGGAGTCAGGACGGGAGACAGAGAGTTTAAGGCGATGGGAGACGAAGGTTTCAAGCTCTTTCCCTCTCTGCCTCTTTGAGGCGCCTCAAAATGCACCTCACTACACGCGGAGTTTAAGGCGATGGGAGACGAAGGTTTCAAGCTCTTTCCCTCTCTGCCTCTTTCCTCCTTGCCTCTTCTCCTCTCCACCTTAATGCCTCTCGTCTTGCCTTACCTCCTACACTCGCTCTCTCTCCCATGGGCCTCATCCCTCATCCCTCATATCTCACCCGCGTGCCTTCCCCTACCCTCTCTTCTCCCAGTGCCTTCCCCTACCCTCTCGAATGGAGCCCCAGACAGGAGCCATATCTCACCCGCGTGCCTTCCCCTACCCTCTCTTCTCGCCTCTCCACCTCCCCCCTTTCCCATCCCCTCTTCTTCCTCTTCTTCCCCCCCCTGTCTTCTCTGCCCCTCCTTTATCTCCTCTTATCGCCTCTCCCACTATCCCCTCTGCCGCATCTCCCCCTATTCCCCCCACCCCATCTCCCCCTATTCCCCCGCCCCATCTCCCCTTATCCACCCTGGTTCATTCCCCCGCTGTAGTGGCAGCAATGGCTGCTGCGGACCAGGGCAGCAGCACAGACAACACAAGCACAGGCGCAGCAGCAGCAGCATCTGGATGGGGCTGGCTCAACTTCCTGCTGCTGGCACTCGCCCTCGCTTCAGCCATCGCCATTGCCGCTGCATGCTTTGGATACATCACCCAGCGCAGACCCCCCTCCTCCTCCTCCCTCGCCATCGCCCCGCCTCTCACCCTGCCTCCCCCGCGCGTTGAAGAGCGTAAGTCCGTGCACTACCTGAGAGCGTGCACTACCTGAGAGCGTGCACTACCTGTGAGCGTGCACTACCTGAGAGCGTGCACTACCTGAGAGCGTGCACTACCTGAGAGCGTGCACTACCTGAGAGCGTGCACTACCTGAGAGCGTGCACTACCTGTGATGCTTCCCCTCGTTTTCCCCTTGTCCTTTGCCCTTCCCCTCTCATCTCCTCGTTTTCCCCTTGTCCTTTGCCCTTCCCCTCTCTTCCCCTCTCCCCCCCCTTCCCCAGTGCCAGTGACGGAGTACGGGTTGTCAAAGATAAAGCGCGCCACAAAGAACCTCACCACGCTCTACGGCAAGGGCAGCTTCGGCTCCGTGTACCTGGCGCAGGACTTCCTGCCCTTCCTACGCTCAGGACTTCCTGCCCTTCCTGACTGCGAGCTCTGACCTTCGCCAACACCACCAACTTTCTTTCTCCACCCCCCGTTCCCCTCCCCTTTGCTCCCCCCGCAGTGCCAGTGACGGAGTACGGGTTGTCAAAGATAAAGCGCGCCACAAAGAACCTCACCACGCTGTACGGCAAGGGCAGCTTCGGCTCCGTGTACCTCGCGCAGGACTTCCTACCCGACCGTGCCAACCCGCATGTCATCATCAAACGAGCACACGACCCTGAGAGTGAGTAGTTTTGCCTAGAGTTTACTCAGAACACTCTTGGGTTGACTCAGAGCATGCGGTGTATGCGGCACCGTGTACCTGGCGCAGGACTTCCTGCCCGACTGTGCCAACCCGCATGCCATCATCAAGAGGGCGCACGACCCTGAGAGTGCGTTTCTGCAGCTTGAGTTGACTTAGAACACGCTGCGGTTTGAGTGTGCATGGTGCAGGAGGACTTGATGTACCATGCCTGCTCAGGGCTTCCTGTCAGACCACGCCACTCGCAGTCACCGTCCCACCATGCCTTCCCAACCCCACCCCCCCATTGCCTGCCACCGCAGAGATGAGTGAGGAGCAGTTGAGAGAAAAGGTGGACAAGCTGGCGAGGGCACCGTGCAATGCCACTCACATTCACCGTTCCTCCACCCCACCCCCCCGCACCTGAGCTCTACCGCAGAAATGAGCGAGGAGCAGTTTAAGGAGAAGGTGTACGAGCTGGCGAGGGTTACGCACCGGTCATATGCACCATCCCACCGCTCCCCTCCCCCCCATTCCCTCCCCCCCCCCCGTTGTCTCCCCCATTGCCTTGTACCACAGAGATGAGCGAGGAGCAGTTGAGAGAAAAGGTGGAGGAGCTGGCGAGGGCGAGGCGCCGGTCACATGCACCATCCCACTGCTCCCCTTCCCCCCATCCCTCTCCCCTCCCCTTGTCTCCCCCATCGCCTGCCACCGCAGAGATGAGCGAGGAGCAGTTTAAGGAGAAGGTGGACGAGCTGGCGAGGGCGAGACACCGGTGTCTGGTGGCGCTGCTGGGGTACTGCATGGGCAAGACAGAGCGCATGCTCGTCTTTGAATACATGCCCTATGGCACTCTCTTCGACCGCCTCCACCGTAAGTCCACCCACCGTTTCGGAGTCCCTTTTCGTGATTTTTCTTCTTTTTCCTCTCAGCCGACCCCCTTTTTTTCCCTCTGAGTCCACCCATTTTTTCCAGGCTCACTTGTCTTTTCCGAGTCCACCCATTCCGTTGTTGGCACTCTCTTTGACTGCCTTCACTGTGAGCCCACGAAACATCATGAGAACACATGCTTAACTTATTAGGTACATACCCACGGTGATGCACATGCCCACCGTCATGCACAAACCCCCATCCTCCCCCCCACCCCCCCCCCACCCCCCCCACAACCCTCTTCCTTTCCCAACACCCATGCCACACAGGGTCGAACCTGGACCCCATGCCGTGGGATGCAAGGGTCAAACCTGGACCCCGCCTCTCATCCCTCCTCATCCCCTTCCCCTTAATCCCCTCCTCCCTCCAACCAACACCCGGGTGTGTGTCACAGGGTCGAACCTGGACCCCATGCCGTGGGATGCAAGGGTGCGGGTGGCGGTGAACGTGGCGTCAGCGCTGGCCTATCTGCACCACGGCGTGGACCCGCCTCTCACCCACCGCGCTGTCACCTCCTCTAACGTGCTGCTTGGCGCTGACATGACTGCCAAGGTGTGTTAATGCTCTCAACAACCAGACGCAGTTTCAGGCTGCTTCATTTGGTGTGTGTGTGTGTGTGTGTGTGTGTGTGTGTGTGTGTGTGTGTGTGTGTGTGCGCATGTGTGCACACGTATGCGTGCGTGCATGTGTGTGTGTGTGTGTGTGTGTGTGTGTGCGTGCGTGCATGCGTGTGTGCGTGCGTGCGTGCTTGCGTGCGTGCGTGCGTGCGTGTGTGTGTGTGTGTGTGTGCTTGATGGGGTCAGCAATTGCCTCTCACCCACCGCGCCGTCACGCCATCCAATGTGCTGCTCGGCGCCGACATGACTGCCAAGGTGTGATTTCACTGCCACTCTGCCTGCTCTGCTCCCACCACCGTGTGCTCCCACCACTGGTGCTTTGCTCCTTAGACGTGCATAAGCCATGACTAGCCTTTATTCCCCCTTTCATCCCTCCGTCCCTCCTCCCCACCCACACAACACCAGCTCTCCGACTACGGGCTGGCGCGGGGCTGTGCAGCGCAGGCAGCAGACGACCTGGCGCGGCGGCGCCGGGCCCACCGCAGCTCGCGCAGCCGCGGCACGAGCATCGGCAGCACGGGCCAGCTCGACAGCCTCCAAGGCGGCAGCAGCGCTGGCAGCAGCGCCGGCAGCAGTGGCGACTTGCTGGGCGGCGTGGGCGGGCGGTCGTTTGGGAGTGGGAGGCGGCGGGGTGGAGGGGGGGAGAGTGAGAGCGACACCGATGGGGAGGCTGTGCTGTCGCGGGAGAGCGCGCCGCACTTCGCGAGGGAGAGGGAGAGCACGCCGATTCTTTCAAGGGAGAACACGATTTTGAGCATGGATGAGAGGAAGGCGGATGTGTATGGGTTCGGAGTGGTGCTGCTGGAGTTGATCACAGGGCAGAAGGCCATGCAGGACGTGCATATCACCAGCCTGGTACGCCGCGGTGAAATGCAGTAAAGCGTGGTTTGGTTCGGTGGAGCGTGGTTTGATATGGAGCAGGGTGGGGTGCGTGCACTGGGTGGTGCGATTGGGTATGTGGGGTGTGGATGGGTTTGATATGGTGCTGCTGGAGCTGATAACGAGGCACCAAGTAATGCGCGATGTGTAAACTTAATTTGATAGGGCGTGTCTCTCATGAGGTGTATTTCTGTAATGGGAGGGAGAACATCGTGGTTCAATGCGGTGGACAGTGGTGTGTGCGCTTTTCTGTACATGGTATGTCATGCAGGAAGTATCAAGCGTATGAATTGGGATTGGTGGTGCTGATTTTCACCCAGAATCACATGCATGTTGTGCATTGCCAGCGTGATCAGAAGAGGCCACCTTCATCTCTCATGACCAAAGTGTTGTTTTGAGACGTCTCAAAACATTCACCCAGAATCACATGCATGTTGTGCATTGCCAGCGTGATCAGAATAAGCGACCTTCATCTCTCACCTTCTCTCCCTCGCCCCATTCTCCCCGCGTCCCCTCGTTTCACTCGTCTCCCTCTATCTCCTGACATACATCAGGCGGCGCCCTTCCTGGAGGACGATCAGATGATGCCCCTCATGGCTGACAGCGCCCTCGCAGGTGTGCTCCCATGCTCCCCTGCTCCCATGCTATTGTGCTCTCATGCTCCCTTGCTCCCATGCCCTTTGCTCTCACGCTCCCTTGCTCCCATGCCCTTTGCTCTCACGCTCCCTTGCTCCCATGCCCTTTGCTCTCACGCTCCCTTGCTCCCATGCCCTTTGCTCTCACGCTCCCTTGCTCCCATGCCCTTTGCTCTCACGCTCCCTTGCTCCCATGCCCTTTGCTCTCACGCTCCCTTGCTCCCATGCCCTTTGCTCTCACGCTCCCTTGCTCCCATGCCCTTTGCTCTCACGCTCCCTTGCTCCCATGCCCTTTGCTCTCACGCTCCCTTGCTCCCATGCCCTTATGCTCCCAAACTCTTTTGCTCCCATGCTTCCTTATTCCCATGCTTCCATACGTGCATACTCACCCGGCCCTGCAACACGGCATGCATTACACTACCGCCTGGCTACTTCAATCAGGATGAGCTGGTCTCGCTCGCCTCCATTGCCCGTGACTGCGTACACCCGGCACCCTCTCAGGGCGAGCTCATTCCCCCTTGCTCCCACACCCCCATTCCCCCTTCCTCCCACGCCCCCATCCTCTCGCCCCACAGGCTATTTCAACCAGGACGAGCTCATTTCACTCGCCTCCATTGCCCGTGACTGCGTGCACCAGGCACCTTCCCAGCGCCCCTCCATGCTCGACGTCCTCACAGCCCTCGAGGACACAGTAGACGAGGACCTCCTCTCTTCCCTCCACGGCCCCTCCACCCGCCTCCTCTCGCCCAGCTCCACTGCCAGTGGCATCACCAGCACCAGCAACGGGGACCGGTATACTGCCCTGGCCAATGACGGCGCTTTTGACGATGCTGCCACGGGAGGGACGGGGACGGGGATGGGGGGAGGGGGAGCGGGGAAACGGAGCGGTGGGTCGTCATTCATTGATGCTATCTCGGCGTCGTTCCGGAGGCGAGGGGGTGGGGGGGAGAAGGGTGGGGGGAAAGGGGAGGGGATGCAGAGGGGATCGGGACAAGCCCCCCCGTCGCCGAATCGGTCGGGGAGGAGTGATGCATCGGATATAGAGAGCTCGTCGCTGCTCTATATCACTCCCAAGGGTCACTGAGACACTGACTCGTCTCTCCTTCCTCCTCTCACATTCCCCGGCTCAAGTGGCGTCTGTCTTTGAGACGTCTCTAAGAATCGGTTGAAGAGGAGGAGTGATGTGTGGAATGTGAAGAGCTCTTCCCTGCTTCATATCACCCCCAAGATACACTGACACGATCTCTATAATATAAACATATGGTACCAGCTCATTCTCTCCTTTCTCTCCCACCGAAGGGGCAAGTCATTTCCTCAGTGTCTCCAATATTTTCTTCATGACATTTTGGGGTCCGCTCATATTGTGGTACTATAATCTAGGGCCACCCAGCGACTACCACATTTGTTTTTTTTTGTTCACTTGGTTTTTAATTCTGAAGGCCGGTGATCACAACCGGTGTGTACGTCACATGATGGGTAGGTTGGTGGGCGTTGACACTGTACATTATTATTTTATACTTTGTAAACAATTACCCTTGGATTTGTAGTGGGTGGCACTGAAGACGTGTCCAGAGAGTACATCCTAATACGATAGAAAAGGGTTTGGAATTGACCCCGAGCGGTATAATTGAGAAGTAGAATGGTGAGGTAGGGTTCCTTATGAGTGTACATTCGTAGACTCTCCCTATGATTCGAATGGCAACTTTACACATACTAGCTGAAAAGTGCAACAAGCAGCATGAAGCTTATTTCTCAGAACAGTCAGTCATTGGTTGTACAGCAGGTACCATACAAACTAGATGGTAAGGTACACCACGGATTGTGACCTTGCAACAGAATATGTTCTTGCCACAGACGCCATGTAGAGGAATGAATGCAAGGCGGGAAGCAGCCCAGTACAGCAGCAGCATGTGGTGGAGGTAAGGAAATGTGCCTCTGAAAGGAAGCACATTGAGATTGGTAAGGGGAGCCTACAAAACTGCTCCCGCTGATTTAGGTAGTGTATAAAAACCCTCCATATCCATTACCCTCTGCCACTCCTCCACCCACCGCCACCACCACCGCCACCTCCTCTCCTGCTTCCCCCATAACCTCCTCCTCCACCACCACCGAACCTGCCACGACCACCGCTGCCCCCTCCTCCCCCTCCCCCTCCACCTCCCCATCTTCTCGGGCCTCCGGGACTGAAAAGAGAGAACACACAAGCCGTAGAGAAGTTGGGAGGGACACGAGAAATGGGAGAGGTGAGTGGGGAACGGACAGATAGACAGATGAGAGGCAGCGGCAGAGATGAGAGGCAGGTCCATTGGGGAGAGAGGTTCAGGAGGTAAGAGTGGGAGGGAAGTGGGTGTAATCAGGGGACATGCGATCAGCACCGTTGATTCATATTGCGCACATCACGGCACATCTGACCCGTTACAGGGATGCAGATTTCAGCGCAGATTTGGTCATCGCTTCGCCAGAGGGGAAAGAGGACAATGGAAAGAGATGAGATCGAGAATGAGTAAATCGCTAGTGAAGAGGCTAGTCAAAGGGATTGGGGTGGACAGCAGAGAGTGAAACCAACAGGGTCTGGTTACCAAAAAGTAACAAGTAACAAGAGGGCAAGCCCAAAGACAGGTACATCCTAAGCGAGTTTGCAGCAATCAGCACCGTTGATTCATTTTGCGCACATCACAGCACATCTAACCCGTTACAGGGATGCAGATGTCAGCGCAAATTCGGTCATCGCTTCGCCAGAGGGGAGAGGGGATGATGGAATGGAAAGCGGCAAGAAGGGACGGGCGGTTTGACGGAAGGAGGCTAGAAGGGTGGTGGTGCAACGAGGTTGGCAGAGAGGCTTGAAGTCAGAGAGAGAGAGAGAGAGAGAGAGAGAGAGAGAGAGAGAGAGAGAGAGAGAGAGAGAGAGAGAGAGAGAGAGAGAGAGAGAGAAGCTGGGCGGGCAAGTCAGACAGGAGAAGTGAATCTTGGAGCAAAGCTGCGATCAGCACCGTTGATTCATTTTGCGCACATCACAGCACCATCTGCCCCATTACAGGGATGCAGATGTCAGCGCAAGTTGGGTCATCTCTTCAAAGCTCAACTCATCCCTCCAAGCCTAAACTAACAGGCATCATGTCACAGCAGCATCAGGAGCAGCTGCAAGGGGAAGAGGTAAACAAATTAAACAAATCAACAGAAGTGCAAGAAGCAAACCTTCCACCACACACACACCCCCATCGCCATCGTCCAAGCAGGACACCACCCTGGACCTCTCCTTGGAAGTTGACCCCTCACCTGTTGTGCATGCACCTCACCTCACTTGTTGTAACCCCCATGTGCCTCACCTGTTGCTGGTCATCGGAGCTTGCTTGAGCTCGGGAAGCGTCTTGGCCTCCTCCACCTGGATGTTCGACAGCCCGTTGCTCGCCGCCGCTGCAGCGATGGGAAAAACACAACACGTGAGGCACACAAGGGTTTTCTTTCTGTTTGCATGCACGTCAACTTTTGAGTCGACTCAAAAGCACACAAGGGTTTTCTTTTTGTTTGCATGCTCGTCAACTTTTGAGTCGAATCATCAAAAGCACACAAGGGTTTTCTTTTTGTTTGCATGCACGTCAACGAGGTCCGCGGTGGGAAAGAGCGATGCAATGCAATGGCACCAGTCTCAATCGGAAGGGGGTGGTTGAGCCCTCTACCCTTACGGTAGAGGTTCTTGTCCTTGACAGGCACGTCAAAGAGGTGAGCGGTGAGAGAGAACACTGTAACAGCACCCATCAGAGGACTCAACGCAAGGAGGTGGAGTTCTGGGCCTCACCTTTCAGGTAGAGGTCCTTGTCCTTGACTGGCACGTCAAAGACAGCCCCACAGCCGTCAGCTGTGAGTGTGATGCCGTTGATGGCCCGCGTCTGGTCCGGTGTGAGGTGCTGCTCGAAGAACCGTAGCACATAGCTGCAGTTGGGGAGGGGAGCGGGCAAGGGAGGGATGGTTTTGAGATTGCACACACTTGATTGCCCGCGTCTGGTCCGGTGTCATCAGGTGCTGCTCGAAGAACAGTGGATGGAGGGAGGGGGGAGGGGATGGAATGGAGGAGGGGTGGGAGTGGGGCAGAGCTGAGATTTGAGGGAGGGTTACAGGACGATATTGATGATGGAAGCCGTACAAGAAACACAACACACACAGACACACATGCATGCACGTTTGTGGCGGGTGTGTGCACGCTCACTCACACCCACACACGTTTCCATAAGTGCGGCATGGCAAGGGGAGGGGCTCACGAGGGCGAGTAGAAGGGTGAGGAGCAGCGCAGCAGCAGGGTGACCTGGTCCTGCTGGCTCAACAGCAGCGAGCGTGCCTTGAGCTCCGTGTGTCCCTGTCATAGAGAGATTTCCATGCCATGCCATGCCATGCCACACAGAGAGTGCAGAAGGAGCAGCAACAGGATCAGCTAAGTGCAGCTCAGAGGCACAGCAGGGAGAGAGGAAGAGCGTACGTGCCAGGGACCTTATGGGTGCCAAGAATGTGCAAGTACATACATCTTGCCGTGACCCATGGACCAACAGGCAGGAAGGCAGCCAGGCAAACTGGCGAGCGGGGGGGCGGGGGGGCGGGTGAGCAGGAGCAAGCAACTCACAGCAAGGCAAGCGAGGGCTTTGGCGAGTGCAGCGAGGGGCGAGAGGCCAGTAGAGTCGATGAGCTCCTGTGCTGAGCCCTCAAACAGCGGCACCACACTGTGTGTTAAGAGGGAGGGGAGGGTGACAGGATGTTGGGGGATTTCCACGGGCAATCTCCCATACCCTCAACTCAAGCTTTGAGGTGATTTTTGAGGCACCTAAAAAAAAACGCCTCAATGCACGTGGTGAGATGTTTGTAAAGAGGATTTCCACGAACAGTCGCCCACATTCCCAAAATTCCAAGCCCTCTCCCTCTCTTTCCTCCCGCCCGCCCCCCCCCCCACCCGCACTCATGCGTATGCGCATTTCAAAACATCTCAATACGTGCCCAGAACCCCTTCCCCCACTGAAGCCTGCCCCCACTGAAGCCTGCCCCCACTGAAGCCTGCCCCCACTGAAGCCTGCCCCCACTGAAGCCTGCCCCCACTGAAGCCTGCCCCCACTGAAGCCTGCCCCCACCTGCACACAAAGCCTCCCTCACGCCCTCACCTGTCTCCAACGGCCTTGACTTTGGTCGTGACTGCAGCGGAGGCGACTTTAACGAGGTCAGCGGGCTGTGGCGGGCTGACGCGCTCAAACTTTACCCCCGCCGTGTGCTCGATCTGCGACACTATCCGCCCCGCCCACCTGTCCGCCACCAACACTGACACTCCCGTGTTGCCTGGTTGGGGAGGAGAGGGGGGGATGAGGGGGGGATGAGGGGGGGAGGGGGGGGGGGCAGTGGCAAACACAGACAGGTGGAAGAGCGGGTGAGGACGAGGCACGGGTGAGAACGAGGCACGGGTGAGAACGAGGCACGGGTGAGAACGAGGCACGGGTGAGAACGAGGCACGGGTGAGAACGAGGCACGGACGAGGCACAGACGAGGCACGGACGAGGCAGGGCTTTCGTGAAGAAACGGGAGAGTGAAAGAGTGAAAGAGAGAAAGAGTGAAAGATAGCAGAGGAATCTGGGAGGGGCAAAATGACCCAAACGCCTGCCTGCAAAATCACCACCTCCCGAATCTGCACATCCGCTGCTGCCACTCCACCAAGGCTAACTCCGTACCTGCGCGGCCGGTTCGGCCGGACCGATGGATATAGGTCTCGACGGTGCGGGGGACCTGCGCCTGCAGAACGAGCTGCACATCACTAATGTCCAAACCTCTCGCCGCCACGTCTGTTGCTACCAGCACTTGGAAGGCCCCTGACTTGAACGCTTTTAGCACCACCTGTGGGAGGAAACACGAGGAGGAGCATGTGAGAGCGGCGGGTGGTGAGAGAGAGAGAGGGAGGACGAGCAAGTCCAACCACCAACCCCATTGAATGGAGCACACGTTGCATAGCTGGTGGTGCTGCTGCCAACACACTCACCTCGCGCTGCTGCTGGCTCACCTCGCGTTGTTGCTGCACGACGTCGCCGTGCAGCGCTCGCGCCCCCAGGTGCGCCAAGTTCTGCGCGAACTCCGACGCTGCGCTCTTGGTGTCCACGAACAGAATCACCTTCCCGCCGCTGCCAAGGGGGGCGGGGGGGAAGGAGGGCGGGTACGGGGGAGAAAAAGAGTTCAACACTCAACACTCTGCGCGAACTCGCTCTTGGTGTCCACAAACAGAATCGCCTTCCCGCCACTGCCCGTGGTGCACGGAAAAGGGGGCGGCGGGGGCGGGGGAGAGGGGGAAGGGGGAGATGAGGGTGGAGAAGGATGAGAGAAATGTTGAAGGGGCACGGAAGATGCGCGCATTTACACATGCAAAAAAGAGTCATGTTGAGTAAAAAAAGAATGCTGAGGAAACGGGGGAAGAGGGGGGGGAGGAGGGGGGAATAGGGGGAGGAGGGGGTGTGGGGTGTGAGAGGAGGTGAATGAGGGGCGGGGAGAAACTGACAGGCTGTAGGTGGCGATGACGTCAGCGACGAGTTGGAAGCGTTGTTTGGTGTGGCAGGGCATGAGCAGATGGCGCACGTTGGTGCTCGCCTTCTGCCGCTCGCCGCCCACCAGGTCCACCACGCGCTTGTCCTCACGGAAGAACCGCTTCGATATCTGGTGCAGTGCGGTGGAGTGGGATGGGGTGGGGTGGTGTGGAGTGGGGTGGGATGGAGTGGGGCAACGCGCGGGCGGGGGAAGGGGAAGGCAGGTATATTGTAAGTATCGCGCAAATGCGCTTGTCCTCCCGGAAGAACGCGGCATTGGTAGGTGCGCGTAGAGCGTGGGGCGAAGGCACGCAGAAGAACGAGGGCAGGAGAAGTCAGGAGCGTGGGGCGGGAGGAAAAATATTAACGAGCGGCGAGAGGCGAGCGGCGAACGGCGAGCGGCGCGCGGCGAGCGGCGAGCAGCGAGCAGCGAGCGGGTGAGTGACTGACCTTGTTGACCCATTCGGGCACGGTGGCGCTGAAGAGCAGCGTCTGCACCTTGGACTGGTCGTCCACCGACTCTGCGCCGCGCGCACACGCCAAAACAAATCGGAAACAGAGGTGTTAGCGTTTGCAGCGCAACTTGACTTGGAGAAGCTTTAGGCAAGAGGAAAACGACGCAGCCTACTCGCGCAATTCCCTCGCGCAGTCCATTCGCGCTGCAAACTCTTGAGAATTCTCAAATGCATTTCCGTCGCGCAGTCCATTCGCGCTGCAAACTCACTGAGAATGGTCTCGACGTCGTCGACGAAACCCATGTCGAGCATCTCGTCCGCCTCGTCCAGCACGCGGAAGCGCACCTCGTTCAGCTTCAACGACCCGCGCTGCAGCAGATCCTGCTCCAGGGAGAGGGGCAGCGTGCAGCAGACGGGAAAAATAGAGAGGATCAGGACTAGTCGGAAGGGTAGAGGACGGGTCGGAAAACACACGCGGGAAAAGCGGCGGAAATTCAAAACTGTAGCGATGGGCACGAGAGCTTGGGGGTTTTGCAACATTTTGTGAAAACAGCTGGGTTGAGGGGTTCAAGGGTCAGGGGTTTCGGGTTTAGCGGTACCTTGATGCGGCCGGGCGTGCCGACGACGATATCAACGCCGCGGAAGAGCGCACGCTCCTGCGGGCCCATGGGCGCCCCGCCGTACACGCACACAACGGACATGCCGGCGGCGCGGCCGATGTACTCGAAGTCGTCGCCGACCTGCTTCGCCAGCTCGCGAGTCGGCGCCAGCACGATCACGCTCGGCAGCTTGCTGCGGCTCGCGAACCCAGCGCCGGCGCCCTTGCCGCCGCTCTCCTTGAGAATCTTCAGGCGCTCCACGATGGGCAGCACGAACGCGAGCGTCTTGCCCTGACCGGTGCGCGCGCGCGCGATGATATCGATGCCGTCCATAGCGAGGTCGAACGTCTGCACCTGGATGGGGAAGAGCGACGAGATGGACTTGCGACGCAGCGCCGCCTTCACGGCCGGCGACAGGCGGAAGTTGTCGATGCTGTTCGGATCGTCCTCGCGATCCTCCTCGTCCGCCGCCGCCGGCTCCTCCGGACCGTCCGATGAGCCGTCAATCTCGCCCGCAGTCGCCGTTCCAGCTCCGTTAGCTTCGTCAGAAGACGTTGACGCGTCGGCAGATCCGTCAGAATCTTCCTTCTCCGGCTCCTCCGCTGGCGCCTCTGATTCTTTCGACTTCTTCTGCTTCTTCTTGGACTTCTTCGCCGAACCTTCCTCCGCGGATTCTCCGGAGGCCTTCTTCGACTTCTTTTTCGGCGTAACTTCCTCCCCCGCCGATTCGGCTGGCGACGTGGAATCACGCTTCCGCTTCACAGGCGTATCGCCGCCCTTGGCCTTCTTCTTGGATTTCTTCGCGGAGATTAGATCGGACGGCGCAGCTCCATTCTCGTCAGCCGCGAGCGCTTTGGATTTCTTGGCGCTGATGGTAGCCGCCACCTGCTGCTCGTCCTCGGCCATCGCCGTGGCGCCCTTGACCTTGGAAGACACTCCAGGCATAGCTTTCGACAAAAACTTGGACCGAGAATCGGCAAGACTCCAGAAATGTATCGAGTACCTGAAAGGGAACTCCAAATTCAACTCAAAGACTCGTTCGGTGCAAGAATTGCGTACTGTCCTGAGAATTGGCACTGTTTCCTGACAAAGGAGCAGCGCGTTCAGGAACAGCAGTATCAAGTCCTGCCGCGAGGGCTGGACTTACAACAGCGGCAAGCCGCTGAGGAAGAAAGGTGAAAGCTCGAGACCGGCCGCGAAGGCTGGACGTAATGAGCAGAAATGATGCTCCTGAGCGAGCGAGAGAGAGAGAGCTAAAGCCCTTCACAAGGGCGTTGGAAAGAGCCTCCATGAACGAACACCTAGCTGCTTGTTGTTGAGGGTGGATGGGGAAGTCGATGTGGACAAGGGATGATGATGAAGCTTAGACGGGTTAAGTACGGCACAGAACGGTGAAAGAGGAGCATGGTCCTTGCGAATGGCTGGTGGGAAATGGGGGAGAGGGCCAGCTGGAGTTGGCCGCAACTGTGGCCCGTTGGCCCTGTTCGCCACGACCACGATATAGGCAAGGGGCGGGGGATGGGCGAGAGCTCCAGAAGGTGCGCCGGAAGATGCGAACTACGTCCGGGGGCTCGTCCCGAATGGAAATTTCTCCAAAGGGATCCGGAAGGGGGCCAAGGGGATCTGGCACCTCCCCCCCCCACCTTCGTTTAGGGCGGGACTTTTTTTCCCGCCTCTGATCCACAACCAGAGAAAAAAAGAAACAAATCAGCCCGGGTAAAAAGTGTCGAAAAAAGAAAAGGTCCTTCACAGTTGCGTTTAGGGTTCCGTGAACTTGAAGCAGCTGTCTTATCACTCGGGAGGGCGAAAACTTGTTGTTCCGGGCCGGTTCTGGTGACACGTTGGCGTTTACCCTGCCCTCAAATCCCCCGGCCATCCCGTTAGGCGCCTACGAAATTGGTGGTCTGCACGAGGGAGAGTCGATGGAGGGGATGGGGTTCCGAGCTGGCAGGACAGGAAACTGCCAGGCGCATTCTGGATCCCCCGCCCATCCCTTCGATGGCCCAGAAAAGTGGGTGTTCGCCACGACAGCGAGCCCTCCGAGGTTCGGAGGGGATCGTCAGGCTCGACAGGATTTTGTCGGTCTGACCGGCCCTAAAACCCTGATTTCACCCCTTTTCGAAGGTGCAGGGCGGATTCCAGTTCCCCCGCCCATCCCTCTGAAGGCCCAGCAAAGGCGTGGCGAACAGGGCCGTTATGTTATACACAGTCGGGCGACCGTTAATTGGACGATTGGTGACCTGCCCATTGAAAAAGAGCAAGTCTGGCCAATCTTAGAGTTTGGCGGTTTGTTGATAGAATCCAGTCCGCTGGTGTGAGGTCATCGGGGTCGGTGGATATTGGTTGACCTCCACGTGGAAAAGCATCACCTCTTCGGACCATGTCTAGCACGCTCGACCCAGACGTTTCGGGCTGTTAGCTGTGCTAGACAATGTCACTTGCCGCAACGCTGGAAGTCGTTGCTCTGCTACACCTCCTACATACAAAAGTATGTAGGAAATAACATAAATTTATACCAGCTAGTAATTCAAATGCAATGAACTCCTCATCTAAAATATATTTCTCAACTTAATTATGCAATGAGATAACGTTTGATATAATTCAATTACATTATCAACATTGAGCGAAAGTTATCTACAGATAGCAATTGTAAGGAAAATTCATTTTCCTTACTTCGCGTCCCCGCTCAGCGCGTACACCACTGTAGCACCACAGTCAGCACCGTTACCACTTACAACTCTTAGAATAGGAATGCAACGGAATGGTGAAACTAGGAAGTGTGGAAGTACAAATATGCAACCCTAACAACTGTACTCCCTATTGTGCTACTCACTGTAGCCTACAAGCATAGAATTACATTTGACAGCAACCCTCGCATCGACAATCCTCCCGCCACCTTCGCACGTCGCACCCCGACCTCACGGCTCGGCGGGTAACCCGCGCTCCGGGCCTCCGCTTCGACATTTTCCCCAACCTCAGTCCCAGGCCCGTCGTGCGACAACCACAGTCCATTACCGTTACCTCCGTAATCTCGCTATATACTCTTCGCTCATGCTTTCGCTCATTGTACTTTTGCTTAGTGCAATCCTCGCTCTCTCACTCAATTGCAGTCGTAACACCCATACTTGCAACACTTCAATAATGCTCTCGTCGTTGTCCCGACCCAATTTCAGGGAGTTTCCAGTGGTGGACGAACAGCAGCGGTTCGCTCTCTTTTTTGAACGGTTTCGTAGGGTTCTGAGAGATAAACTGTGCAGATTTTGAAACAGCATTACTCGGACTCGGACTCGGATCCCTGAAATCCAGTTTTGTACGTTTGGTTCGTCAGAAAAACACTGATTCTGCCGCCAGCCATGCCGTGCATTCCACTCTTTTGCTGATGCGACTGAGGTGACCGTTAGTTATCCAGCTCCACCTTTCAGTGTTAGGAACATACATAGATCGTCCTTAGCCGTCGTAGAGTCCAACAGTTTTTAGGCCTTTACGATTTACGTAAATAGTCCAGGGTTTCTCTGGATTAGCAGTCGACATTGACCAAACAATGGGGACATTCATGTCTTTTTTACACTATACCAGTCGCCTAGGAGCTCCGTGACGGTAAATGCTTACTTTATTTTACATTGTTCTGGTTTTCCTAGTGATTCTGTCCGTTTGAGCTATTCAGCCTAACTGTCGTATCGTAGCAACCACGATGAGCGCGAGCACGGCAAGCAGCCGGCAGTTCTCCCGGCGCCAGTCCATAGATCCACACTCCAAGTCCAGCCAAGCAGCCGCTCATGGCGCCCTTAGAGCCAACCCCGCGATTCCGCCTCCCACGCCTAAGGGAAAGCCAGCGAAGTACGGGCTGGGCGAGGACTCGATGATCGGGCAGGAGATCAAGCACCTCGAGTCCGAATCGTTCAACGCGGACCAGTTCATGCAGGCCAAATGCAAGGCCATGAGCGAAAAGGTGCGTCGCACGCGAAATGCGAAGCCGTTAGAGCAAATTGGCGTTCAAATCACAGCGTGTTTCGTGAAGGTGGAAAATTTTCATTCCTAAACTCACGCATTTGACTCACATATCTCACTCGCGTGTCCAACTCACTCACTTAACTCACGTCTCACATATTTCATTTGATGCGCAGTCGCTGCGGAAGCTGTGCGCGGAACTGGTGGACTTCAAGCGCGCGTCCGCGGAGGAGATGCGCAAGAGCGTGTACGCCAACTATAAGTCCTTCATTCGGTAAGCCTATTCCTCTCCTTCATCATGTAGGCCTGTCCCTGTCCTTCTAACATGTCATTATGCCGCTTGTCCGGCTATGCTCTCTTTAAATCCTGAATTCCTCGTTATGCAGCATATGTAATGTCATATGTAACGCACTGTGTAACAATTTACTCACTTCATTTTCTGTTCCCTCTTTGTTTCCACTTCCATCCCACCCTCCCCGCCCTAGCTGCCTCTCCACTCCTCTCCACTCCTCTCCAATCCTCTCCTCTCCTCTCCACTCATCCACTCCCTCTCCACTCCTCTCCACCCCTCTCCACTCCACTCCCCGCGGCCTCTTTGTACCCCCTCCGCCCGCAGCACGGCAAAGGAGATATCAGAGCTGGAGGGCGAGCTGCGCAACGTGCGCTCGCTGCTCACCGCGCAGTCCACGCTCATCCACTCCCTCTCCGACCGCTCGCCCATTGTCCAGTCCCACCTCGCCGACCCCGACCGCTCCGTCTACGAGGACGACAAGGAAGCTTCCTCGCAGGAGGCCAATCTGCTGCAGATCCCAGACAAAATGGCCGTGTGCCTGGCAGAAAGGCGGATAGACGAGGCGTTGGATCTCTTAGCCAAAGGGGAGGATGCTGTGGTGATGTGCCGTGCGGGGCAGCGACCAGCAGTGAATAAAGACTCTCTGGAGACCTTAGATTCGAGCCTTGCTGAGAAGCGCGCCGAGCTTGTTGACCTGCTGGCCAGGATCACCCTGCAGCCGTCGGTTCGGCGAGCGGAGCTTCGGCACGCCGTGGCTGCGCTGGCGAGGCTCGGCGACCCGAAACGGGCCCACACACTCATGCTGGCGTGTCACGGCGCGCAGGTGCAGGCGGCTGTGCAACCGCTGCGACCGGGGGGCGTATCCTACGGTGCAGCTTACACGGCGAAGATCTCACGGCTGGTATTCTCCACGATCCTGGCCGCAGCACAGGACTCCAAGGCCGTGTTCGGCGACACGCCCTCCTGCGCCTCAGAGCTGGTGCTCTGGGCGCACGGGCAGACCGAATGGTGCGGGGACCTGCTTCAACAGTACGTACTGACGTCGGCAGCGGCAGCTGGCGGGCTGCGATTGGCCGCCGAGTGCGTGCAGATCGCGGTGGGGCATTGTTCGCTGCTGGAGGACCATGGGCTGGCCATGGCCGCCGTGCTCATGCGCCTCGTGCGCCCCAATGTGGAGCTGGCGTTGGAGGCAAACATAAGGCGGATAGAGGAGAGCGTGCAGGCCATGGCTGCCGGGGACGACTGGTCGCTGCTGCCTGTGCCGTCGGCTCCGCGCAGCGCTGCTGCTCGGATGCTGGCTGATGCTCCTGTTGCGAATTTCCAGCTTACCAGCAGCGCGTACCGCCTCTATTCCATGGTGCAGGTGTGTCCTCCCTCTGAACTACCCTTTTTCCTTATCTCCTCAGTCTTCGCCCTCCCTCGCTCTCCGTCCTCCTGCCTCCCGCTTCCCTCCCTCCCCCTTCGCTCACTCTCGCTCCTCCTTACCCCTCTCCCCACATCCCCTCACTGAGCACACGGATTTCTAGAGGGCGTGGTGCCGATAGTGAACCTTTTGAGTCGACTCAAGGTGACTTTTGAGTCGACTAACAAGTCATTTCTAGAGGGTGTGGTGCCGATAGTGAACCTGCAGCTCACCACGCCTTCCCGACATCCCCCACCCCGTCCCCCTTTTTTCTCTCTCCTCTCGCCTCCCATTCACCCACAATCCGCCACTCTTTATGCGCAGGACTTCTTAGAGGATGTTGTGCCGATAGTGAATCTGCAGCTCACCCACCCTTCTTGCCCCATCTCTCCTCTTTCCTCGGCCTGTGCCGCTCTCTTTATGCACAGGACTTTCTAGAGGACGTGGTGCCAATAGTGAATCTGCAGCTCACCACACCAACCCTGGACGGGCTAGCGCACCTCTACTCCCAGTACACCGCCATGCTCAACCGCGCCCGCACCCCTGAAGACTCCTCTGATTGGGACGCCTCCGCCTCTGCCGCCTTTGCCACCTCCACCAGCCAAGCCGGGGGCCCCGGGGACGCCGGGGAGGGGGAGGGAGGCGGCGCAGGGGCGGCAGGAATCGTGAACAAGGCAGTGACGGACCGGCAGCAGCTGGCTCTGATTGCCAACGCGGTTACTCTAGCAGAGGAGCTCCCGAGGCTGGCAGCGCGGCTAACGCAGCCGGTGGCCGGGCAGCGGGCGAGCCGGGAGCAGAGAAGGAGTTCGGGAGGGGAGGCGAAGCGGCAGCAGCTGCTGGCGTGGAAGAAGCAGCTGAGTGAGGGCGTGGAGGATCTGAAAATGGGGTTCTGTATGCAGAAGGCCACTGAGCTGCTGTATCCCGATGCGTGCATGGATGATGCCTTGCTGCCCCACCTCTACTTCCTCATGGATCAGGTGGGCGTTTGGGTGGGGTGTGATGCAGGTGTGCTGCGGGTGACCGGGAGAGAGGGTGCTTGGGAGTGCAAATGGGGGTGATTGGGAGTGAGGGCGGGTGGGCGGGTTGGGGGTGGACGAACCTGGATGCATGCATGGGTGACGCGCTGCTGCCCCACCTCTACTGCCTCATGGACCAGGTGGGTGTCTGGGGGTGGGCGGCTGGGAGATAGGGTGACTGTGAATGAATGTGTGAGCTGCTGTACCCCGATGCGTGCATGGATGATGCGCTGCTGCCCCACCTCTACTTCCTCATGGACCAGGTGGGTATGTGTGCGTCCATGCTTGAGGCGCCTCAGAAAAAAGCTGTACTCGGGTGCTTGCATGGGTGATACCCACCTGCCCCACCTCTACTTCCTCATGGACCAGGTGGGCGGGTAGGGGGTGGGCGGCTGGGAGATAGGGTGACTGTGAATGAATGTGTGAGCTGCTGTACCCGGTTCGTGCATGGGTGACGCGCTGCTGCCCCACCTCTACTTCCTCATGGATCAGGTGGGCGGGTGATGTGGGGGTGACTGGGAGAGAGGATGACTGCGAATGAGTGTGTGAGGGTGATTGGGTGCAATGGTGATCGGGAGTGATAGTGATCATATCAAAAGGAATCTCCTTGTCCATGTTGTCTCCCTCTCATGTGTTCCTCGTGTTTCCTCCGCCAACCGTGCTTCCTATCCCATTTCCCCTCCCCATGGTGTGTGAACCCCACGGGGCACGGCTGTGCCACCAGGTGGAGTCAGATCCCTCGCTCTGGTTCAATGATGCGCAGCCATCCGAGGCTCTCAAGGTCAGCTCCCTGCAAATACATTCTCACATGCCCTGTCACTTGTCTTCTCACATGCCCTCGCACATGTCTTCTCGCTTGGCCGCTCGCATGCCCTCTCACATGCCTTTCCATAAGCCTTCCCGTTGGCCTGAACACTGACGCGCTGTTTCTGGTGCATTCCTCGCACTCCCATGCGTGTGCACAACTTTCTCTCACCACGCGCACCATGTCCGTTGACTTTTGAAGCGCCTCATAAGTTGGTTCTTGTGCACTCCTCTCCTCGCGCTCCCACGCGTGTGCAGAACTTCCTGTTCATGACGCTGACCGTATCGGATGCGGCATCAGAGGTGCTGGCGGGGCGGGACCGCCTGGTGCTGCAGCTGCTCACACAGTACGGGCTGGCGCTGCTCACACTCATCTGCCATGACAAGGCCTGGGAGGACAGCCACAACTTCGTCGGGCCCACCGGGCTGCAGCAGGTGGGTGTTTGGGCTGCAGCAGGCGCGTGTTTGGGCTGCAGCAGGTGGGTGTTTGGGCTGCAGCAGGTGGGTGTTTGGGCTGCAGCAGGTGGGTATTTGGGCTGCAGCAGGCGCGTGTTTGGGCTGCAGCAGGTGGGTGTTTGGGCTGCAGCAGGTGGGTGTTTGGGCTGCAGCAGGTGGGTGTGGGCGATGCAGCAGGTGGGTGTGGGAGAGGCAGCAGGTGCGTGTTTGGGCTGCAGCAGGTGGGTGTTTGGGCGCCAGCAGGTGGGTGTTTGGGCTGCAGCAGGTGCGTGTTTGGGCTGCAGCAGGTGGGTGTTTGGGCTGCAGCAGGTGGGTGTGGGCGATGCAGCAGGTGGGTGTGGGAGAGGCAGCAGGTGCGTGGTTGGAATACCTAAAGGCCGAAGCCCACACAGTACGGGCTGGCGTTGCTCCCATCTCCACTGCTCCCTTCTCCTCTCTCCCCTGCCCCTCCCCCTCTCCCACTGCAGTTCCTGATGGACATCTCATTCCTCAAGGAGGTGGCGGCACGCTACCACTTCACATCACGGCAGCTGCAGCAGGTGGCGCCCTGTCCACTGACTTTTGAGTCGACTAAAAAGCCAGCCACTGCCGCCACCTCTCTCCTTCTCTCCCTCCCTCCCTCCCTCCCTCCCTCCCTCCCTCCCTCCCTCCCTCCCTCCCTCCCTCCCTCCCTCCCTCCCTCCCTCTCACTGTAGTTCCTGATGGACATATCGTTCCTCAAGGAGGTGGCACTTCACTGCCTGCTCGGCCCATCCTCACCACTGTCCCCCCACTCCCCCCTTTTTACCCATCCAGTTCCTGATGGACATATCGTTCCTCAAGGAGGTGGCGGCGCGCTACCACTTCACATCACGGCAGCTGCAGCAGGTGGCCGACACCAGCATGGAGCGCGCCCGCGAGTCCTTCGACCTCAACCGGTCAGTGCAGGGGTGGTGGGGATGTTGGATGCTGGGGATGAAGATGGGGATGGGAAGTGGGATGGCAGCTGCAGCAGGTGGCCGACACCAGCATGGAGCGTGCCCGCGAGTCCTTTGACCTCAACCGATAGGCGTGGTTGGTGGGGCAGTGGGAGGCTGCGGATGGGTATGGGGCCCCATGCAATGTCGCTCTTGCATGCAGACCCACTACCATACAAACTTACTACCCTGCAAACTCACTGCTTTTCATACGCGTTCTGCAATGTGCTGCAGGGAGTGCCCGGGCGATGAGAAGTTCAGAGAGCTGGCTCAGCAAGCGATTGAAAGGCATCTAATTGACAAAGGCTATCAATAGCCACACAAGAAAAGGTTGATTTTAGCAGGCATGCTGTATAATATGTTTCCTCTACTTCATAGAATTGACAGTTTGTGAAGAAAATGCCTCTGCAATCAAGAACAGAGCATCCAAATCCAGCTTACATTGTCAATATGCATTAGCCTTATTTAGTACATGTTAACACTTTTTCTGTACAGTGCGATGCCCAGCGAATCGAAATGATGCTGGAACCTCAGGGATCTCCACGTTTCCTGCGTGCTTTACGTGGCGCCCGCAAATATCTACTCGGTCTTCGCTATAATGCTGCCATCAACCTAGCCAACCAGTCCATACAAGCTCGAGAACCATTTCATTCCTCTTCTTCTCAGCTCCAATCCGCCCTCCCTTGTTTTATCACTCATCCCGCTTCCTTCAGCTCGGCGGTGCAGCTGTTTCGCTGTCTGCCGCCGTCACTCGCGTCGTGAAAAAACGCCTTCTCGTTATTGTCCTCGCTCCTCCGTGATCAATTCCGTTTGCTTTTCTTCCGTACCGCGTTCCATAGTGGCCTGAGCCGCTCGCCCCTAGACCTCGTGACATTCCATGGCGTCGGCTGTTGCCGTAACTCCCGCGATCAGCGGCCTCGCGACTTCACGCGCCGCTGCGACTGTATCGCGCGATTCAGCTCACGTGCGACAACATGCGACGGCTGCGCTGTCGCATCCGCTTCGCGCACGCGGCATTCGGGGTCTGCGATCGGACAGCTTCAGGGGCAAATTGGCGAGAGCGGGGACGAGCAGAAAATCAGCGTTCTCTGTTCAATGCAACCTCGTGGTATGACGGCATGCTGGATCCATGGCTATATCCTTCATCAATGACAAACGAAAAACAAAAAAACAATACGGAAAAAAAAAACAAGGATAGATATAACCGGAGACAAGTACTGAAGAATACATGATAATCGCCTCAATTCTTGTCCCCAGTCCCCCGTCCCTCTCCTCCCCCTCTCCCCCTCCCCCCCCCACCGTCCCGCGGGCAGCGCAAAGTGAACGGGAAGGAGCTGGACGCGTTGCTGTCGGGCGATCGGCCGCTGCCGATGGTGATCGACTTCTACGCCACGTGGTGCGGCCCCTGCATCCTCCTCGCACAGGAGCTGGAGCAGGTCAGTTTCTAGTGACGCACCTCAAGAATAGTAGTGCCGCTCTTTGAGTTGACTCACTTGCCGACTTCCACGCCACGTGGTGCGGCCCCTGCATTCTCCTCGGACAGGAACTCGAACAGGTGCGCCGTTTGACTCAATTCATGCCCCCCATACCCATAATACCCCCCATACCCATAATACCCCTATCCCCCCATACTCCCATACCCCTCATGCCTCCATGCCCTCATACCCCTCAAGCCCCCATGCTCCCATACCCCTTGTTCTCACGCTCCCATGCTTCCATGTCCCCATACTCCCATACTCCCATACTCCCATGCCCCCATGCCGCCGTGCCCCCATGCCGCCATGCCCCCATGCCGCCATGCCCCCATGTTGCGCTGCCGCCGTTCCCCTTGTGCAGCTAGCAGTGGAGTACCATGGAGAGGTGCTGTTTCTCAAGGTGGACACGGACGAGGAGTACGAGCTCGCCAACCAGCTCGAGGTGCGTGCTTGTGCCGAGCCGACACATGCCCTCGCACTCACACTTTCTCGCTCCCTCACTCACACGCACGCTCACATACACACCTCCTGCGCGTGCCCACACGGACGAGGAGTATGAGCTTGCCAATCAGCTCGATGCCTGCGCCCATGCCCTCGCACTTACACTCGCTCGCACATTCGCACACATTTGCTTAATCGAATGCTCACTCCCTCAAAACACATGGTCGCTCTCAAGTACATTCACACCCCTCATATGCTCTCTACATACCTCCCCTCACACCTCACTCCAACCGCAAACCCTCAACCCTCTTCCCCATCGCGCGTGCTTTCCCTCCCTCCCATGCCTGATCCCTCCACTCCATCCCTCGCCATATCCAGATCCGTGGGCTACCCACAGTGGTGTTTGTGAGCAAGGATAAGTCAAAGCTTGCCGTCCGCACCGAGGGCTTGCTACCCATTGCGTCCATCAAGCAGCTGATCGAGGAGATGTAGATAGCGTATGATTATGGTGATTGTTGTTGGGCTGAGAAATAGCCCTTAGGATCTTTGCAGAGGAGAACTCTTGGGTAGAAACTTGTAATAGCGGAAGCGTTTTAATGAGGATTGTGAACCGACCTTGCACTGGTGTGTGAGAGCAAAGTAGATTGAATTAAACAAGCAAATACAGGATTTATATAAGAGTACAGGGAATACGAATGGATAGGTAGATAACTGTATTGCTGTTGCGGTTCGATACAGTGCGACTCGGGCAACTGCTCTGTAACGAGTCAGTTGTGTGTCCTTAACTGTCGCGCTGTGATTGTCGAGTCAAAGGTCAGCGACCTTTGACTTTCTCGTAACCTCCAGGCGGTTTACCCTAACCTCCGAGGTTGACTCGATGCTTCGTTTGGGACTGCTTCGCTTGGTGCCTTGGGTTTGATACGACAGAAGCGCACTTAGGACTTATTGTTTCCAACACTCCCCTTCGCTTCTGGAGTGTCGCTGCTGGTGACGTGGCCTTGTCCAGTCAGCATCATGCAGTATTCGAACTTCTGCTTTCCGAGTTTCTTGGTCAAGTAATCGGCTGCCATCTCGGATGTTGGGCAGTATGACAGATCGAGTTTCCCTTTTTCTATCTCGTCCTTCACGAAGAAATAGCGCAGGGCGATGTGTTTCGTCCTGTTTGCGAAGCCGTTTTTGTTGGCGATGCGGATTGCCGACTGGTTGTCGCAGAACACGGTGAAGCTGGGTAACTCGGCTAGTTTCGCTTCTTCCAGTAGTTCGCGAAGGTAAAGTCCCTCCTTGGTGGCTGAGCAGAGTGCGATATATTCTGCTTCTGCTGAAGATAGTGCGATTAACTCCTGCTTGCTTGACTGCCAGGAGATAGGACCGATAGGCTCAAGGCGGTAGACATAGCCGGTGCGTGAGCGCCTGTTGTCGGTGTCGCCGGCGTGATCGGCGTCGACGTAGCCGATTAGTTTGGTCGGTGTAGTCACGTTTTTGTGATAAATTAGTCCGATCGTCGCGGTGCTGACGAAGTAGTGGAGAGCACGATCGAGTTCCGTCAGATGCTCTGCTTCAGGTCTCTTGAGATAGGTAGCGAGCTGACTCGCGGAGTAGGATAGGTCGGGACGGCACGTGACTGCTGCGAAAAGTAGGCATCCTAGCTTCTTCTGATAGTCGCGTATGCCGGCAGGTTTAAGTAGAGTAGATTGCCCCTTTTTGGTTCCTGACGCGTAGCGATAAGGCGTGGAGATGGCGCTGGGTGTGAGACGAAAGCGTTTCGCGATAGTGTCGGCGTACTTCTCGGCGCTTAGGTAGATTGCGTTTTCTTCCTCACGGATGTTGAGCCCGAGGTATTGCGTAACCGTAGAAGAGACCGTGAGCGTGAGGTCTTTCTGGAGCTCCCCTTCGAACCACGCGGCGATGTTGTCGGTTGACCCAATGTAGAGAAGATCGTCCACATAGACGATTAATAGGACGTAATCGCCTCCTTTTGTGAGGCGATACATGCCCTGGTCATGCGGGAGTTGTTTGAAGCCGATGCGGATGAGGCGGGCGTGTAGGTACTGCTGCCACAGTCGCGGTGCCTGCTTGATCCCATAGAGTGATTTGAGTAGTTGACACACTTGGTTGGGTTCGCCGTGGGAGCCGTGCGGGAGTTCAACGAAGATTTCTGCATCCACAGGTGCGTAGAGAAATGCGTTCGCAACGTCGATCTGTCGTAATTTCTTTTTCTTCATGGCGGCGACGGCGATGAGGATTCGGAGTGAGGTGTGGCGACTGACCGGAGCGAAGGTTTCGGTGTAATCTCTTCCGTGCTCCTGGTCGAAGCCACGTACGACCCAGCGGGCTTTGAATTTGTCGATGGTGCCATCAGCTTTCGTCTTCACACGGAAGACCCATTTTCCGGTAAGAATGTTTTTATTTTGAGTTACGCCGATGGGAACAATTTTCTAGGTGTTGCGCTCCTCCAGTGCCTTCAGCTCTTTGTCCATAGCTTCACGCCATTTCTCCTTGTGTTCCCCCCCCAGAGCCTGCTGAACCGTCGCAGGCTCCTCAGGAATGCCGGCTCCGTGGACTGCGGTGACGAGACCAAGGATTTGCAGCCCAGTCTGTGAGTATCGAGGGAGTTCTGGATCCTCGGGATAAGTTGCTTCGTCTCCCGTTTCTGGGTCGGGCATGAAATTTGGCCCTACCCTTTCTGCTTCGTTGGTGTTGACTGTCACAGGTGTTACGTAACCATCGTCGGCGAAACGGTAGAAGATTTCGGCGTTGTTACTGTCGCGAGGATTATCCTCATCCATGGGCACGTCGACGGAGCAGTATGGGAGAGGTCCGGCTTCTTCTGAGGCGTTGTCGACGTTCTGTTCATCCCAGTCTGCTTCGTCCGCTGCTGACGCGAAGGCTCGGTCACCACGAAAACCACTGGTGAGGTCCCGATTCTCGTGCAAGTTGGCGAGGTACGTCTGAAGGGTGAGTCTTTCGTAGAAGATCACATCACGTGCTGCTACTGTTTCCTTTGTGTGGACGTCGAGGATTTTCCATGCGTTGTAATTTTTCTCGATGCCGAGGTGTAGTCCCCACTGTGCCCGTTGCGAAAATCTTCCCGCTCGTGCTTCTGGGGGTCTGTACTGTACCATGCACCCGAAAACTCGTAACATTTTCGTGCTGCCCTGCTTCCCTGTCCACAGCAGATGCGGTGATGCGTTGTTCGGGAGTGACGACGACGACAACAAGTTGTGCAGCATGACAGCGTGGTCCATTGCTGCTGGCCACTGGTGGTTGGGTAGCCGCATGCCACGTAACAGTTTGCGCATGCTGTTCTGCAGGGTCCTGTTCAGTCGTTCTGCAACACCCTGCTGCTGATGTGCGTAGGGAAGGGAGAGGAGTTGCTTGATCCCCCTTTCCACCAAGAACTGCTTGAAGCGCTGAGAGGTGTACTCGCCACCTCCGTCTGACTGGAAATTTTTCAGTTGTGTTCTAGACTCTCTTTCTGCTATCGGTAGCCAGGCGGCGAATGCTGCGAGCGCCATGTCGCGGCTGGGTAGGTTGCGATGCCAGACGTATCGAGTGGCAGCGTCGATGAAGGTGATGGTGTAGTTGTAGTTGACTTGTCCTGGCTCGCGATTGTAGAGGATGTCGCTGTAGACCTTTTCGAGTGGTGCGTACGCTGGAGTGCTCGGGTTGTGACGTGAAGCAAACGGTCGATGAGGTAAGTCAGCTTCGGGACATATAAGGCAAGTCCCTCGTGCCTTCTGGAGTTCTCTGCCATCGGGTAGAAGTAGAGAGTCTTTGTCGAGGACCCCTGCTCTTATCGTGTTATTCAAAACCGTGTTGCTTGGATGTCCTGTGCGTGCGTGCCAGATCTCTTCAGAGGCGCGGTGTCCGGGTGAACGCTGATATGCGTCGGAGTTGGAGTAAAAGCTGGCGACGAGGTTGGCGCTTCGATGGACTTCACGCTGAGTCGGATTCAGCTGTTGCGCGGGTGTTGGTGGTGCTTCGTCGACTGTGACTGGTGTCGTTGTTTCTGCTGCCGCTGATGTTGTTGCTGCTGTCGATGTTGTTTCTGCTGTCGATGTTGTTGCTTCTTGTTGAATCGTTGCTAACGCTCTTGTTCGTTCTGCTTCAGGGATAGTGTGGGAGTACCAGAAACCTCCCGGGCTGAAGTCGGGGTCGAGATCCGGAGGGTGTGTCCAATCAGCAAAGTTCACAATGGCGTCGCTGTCTGCAGTGCCGAGGTCAGGAACGAAGTCGAGGACGAAGTTGTTGTTCTTCAGCACTGCTTTTCCGATGTAGAGACCGCCTCTCCCGTGGTAAAGCTTGAACTCCTGGGTCGTGCTGTCGGCTTCCAGATGAATTCCTTTCGCCATCAACTGGCTAACGCTCAGTAAGTTGTAGCCGAGTCCTTCAGCGATGAGTACCTTAGACATGTGCAGTATGACATTTGTTTCTCGTGACTGAAGCTGTACCACTCCTTGTCTTCGTGTGCGCAGGTTTTGGTTATTGGCAACCGTGATGATTACTTCCCGTTGAAGTCGATGTTCGCGTTGTACGAAACGCCCGGACGAGCACATGTGTTGCCCGCAGCAACTGTCCAAGAACCAGGTGTCTTGGCCGGACGGTTCACTTTGAGCGATGGCGGCGTAGGTCGGATTTGGATGGAGTGATTCGCGACGAGGCGTCCTGTTGTCGAGCTCCTCTTCCGGTGAGTAATGGGGTGGTGACTCTGTTACGCAAGAGTCGTTTATCTTGACCATGCAGTTGACTATATGTCTTGCTCCTTGCGCAGGTTGTCCAGTTGAGGTTGTTGAAGCTTGAATCGTGGCTGTCGAGCTTGCTTGTGTCGAAGCAGCTTGGGTGCTTGAAGCCCGCAGTTGTCGCTGTGGTGTTGTCTGTCGAGACGGGCAGTGCGTGCGTGGGTGTCCTGATGTCTTGCAGATGTGACAAAATGGAGGTACTAGCTTCGGCTGCTGCTGTCGATTGTTGTAGTAGTTGTGTCGTCGCTGAGTATGGAAAGCAAACTCCGGTGCTAATGTCCTTTTCTTGTTTCTTTCTTCTTGCAGGTCCATATCCTGCTGTTCCGCGTGAATTTCTGCGCAAAGTGCCGCTTCGGAGATCCTCCCGTGTGCTCGAAGAATTGCTTTGGTGGCGCGCCACTGAGGACCGAGGCCGTCGATGACGACTGTTACGAAGGCGTCTTCAGAGATTGACCCTCCACATCGAAGAAGCTTGTCGCGCAATTCGCGACATCGGCTGATATACGCCAACCCTTTTTCTCCTGGTTTCATCTCCACTGTTGTCAGCTGCGCCATTAACCTGCTCTGGTTTACACTGTCCGTTGCCTGGTACAGGTTCTTCAGATGGCCGTACGCGAGTTCCGCCGAATTGCCGAAGTTCCGGTAGGAGCGAATGTTCTGCTGCTGGGTTGGTGTGATGTTTCTCAGTAGAATGGTATACGCCATCATGGATTGATACGTATACTGCTGCTTTTCATACTGTGTCCCGTTTGC